TCCGCTCTGCCTAGTGTGATGACATATATTTTGAAATTTTACACTAGTAAACCGAGTTAAGAATGTTGAAGACAGATGAAAAGATTTTTTTGCCGGTAGAAAGGGATTTTTGTAATTGTTGACTAAGGACTGCATTGCTCGGTTTGTACCATGTCAGGTTGACCTCAGGTGCCCTTGGAAACTGGGGGGAAGGGGATTGTTAGTAATGTGGACTAATGATCCCATTGCTAGCAATGTACCATGTCAGATCGACCTCCACGCGGTTCCCCCTGGAAACCATCGTGATATATTCCCGGTGAATTTGTCACGTTGGGCTAACTGATCTGACTTCATGTTCATCCTATCATCCTCCACTGGTGCCCCACCAGCGTAAACCGTTAGTGCAGGCGGGTGCACCATTCCATTATCATCCTTTAAAAAAAACCCTTGGAAACTATCAAGATAAATTCTTGGTCAATTTAGTCATGATGCATGATAGTCTAACTGACCTGCCCTCATGCTCATCCTATCATCCTAAACCTACCATAAATACCACTAAACCGAGTGTAAACTCATCAAAAAATGTTTACCTACTAGATGAAGTTAGTAACATTGTTTGCCACTTACGCACGTCAAATTTTGTTATCACTATCCTTACTGCATCTATCAATGGAATGAATAAAATCAATTGATAATACCAGCAATCCAGATTTTCTTTGTATACTTTGGACCGCGACCAAGCGGGAATTCTAAACAAGATCTGCACAAGTTACACAGTAACAGAAAACATGCGTGACCTCAATGTTTTAGAAACTAATACAATATCAAGGCCGACCATGGTAATAAAGTACATCTATTGTTCTCAAAGTGTTTACTGTGGTGCCCACACTTGTTTCACAGCATGCAGTGGCCTTAAGGGGTGGCAAGGTAATTCCTGGGACCTCGCTCTTGCAGGGCCCTAGTAGGAAGCAAACTTTAAACAACTAGTAAATGCCTCGCAAAGACCTGCCGCCCGGAATTTGCAATGGATAAGGCCACTACTGACAGAATGCAACTGAGAGAGCTTCGGTCAAAGTAGCAACGATAGGTCCCAAATAACAAAGCCCCTCACTCTATTTTATATCATAAAATGTAAAAAAATAGGGTAGGTAGGGTAGAGTAGAACCATGTATTAATTCAGTAGTAGGTATAGCAACAAAAAGAAATATTTAATTGATTTATAATGATACCACTAAACATTGTTATATGTGATAAGCAATTTGACATACAAAAAAGAAATTTAGTTGGAGTTTCCTGCCGGTTTGTTTATTTGAATCTATTATACTTAACTGGACAGTACAGGAAAAATATTACAAATATGTGATGTTCATAAGCGGCTAAAATGTCCTACGTAAATATATGAGTTTAGATTTATTTAATTTTAAACTTTAGGGTTTTACTTAACATGATTATTTTTATGGTAAATAAAATGTCAGTCAGTGACCACGGCTAGAGCAACCTACTCGAAACGTCGAGAAAGATAAACAGAAGAAACAAATCAATATTAATAATGATTATTATAAAAATGTTTTTAATACATGTATGAATACATTATTTTGACTTTAATTTTTTTTTGTTTCGTAACTTATCTCCACCCATTTGCCGCCTACAATAAAGTAGGCGACAAATAGGTGGAGTATAGTAGTTTAGCAAAACTCTGTTTCCTAAGGTTGTCGGGAAGAGATTGCATTAGCTATAAAACCGCATTCTGTCCTGCATAAGTTTTATTTTTATATGTAATAGTTTTGCTTTAGTGCAATAAAGCATTATAAATAAATAAATATTTCATATATAATATATCAGATAAGACGCCCGCTGCCAAAAGAAATTTGAGAACCACTGGAATAACTATAGATGCCAGGACTTTGCGTCCGTGACATATTAACTGTGACACGCCACTGTTGTCTATGAAAAGTTTCATAGACAAAGTTTTTGGGCGATGACATTGCGAATACAGCCGATTGTTCTATCAAGGTCGGTACGGCACTACAGCATTGCAGAATTTGAAGTGCAAACTCGGAAACTACTACATTATTTTCTTAATCATAAAAAAAATTGAGAAACCGAGATTATTTTTTTACAATTATTATGATTATTCCATTTTAGATCGAATATTAAAGGACATATGGTTTCTCCAGGGTATGTACGGCGAATGCAATACTGTAATTCATAGAGGCTGCTATAGACACAGAACAAATGCGTAACACCGTATCTGAACGTGATCTATAGGCCCCCTAAATCTGTCCGTTTTAATTAAAGAGCCTCTAATAGTTGAAAGATGAACTGTATATTTTTGTGATATCTAATGTATAAAAAATTATGATTGAATATCATAGATATTGTTTTTCTTAACTTTTGACATTATTTGACAACTTCCTACCCAAACATGTCTTTGGCGAATGCACTATGTTCGAAGCCGTATAAAAAAAAAAAGCTTGTAGTGTGTTTACGCGAAATCGCAATTCGATTCATAACGTCTCTTAAATAGAACAGGGAAAATATATCTTCCTATGACATAAATAGTACAGAGAATATTGGTCGAGTCGCCATTTTGTTTTAGTGGCGATTTTTTTAAGCGCAGAGTATCTGCATGAATTCATTAGAAACATTAAACAAATCTTAAGGATTATTCATCTGTGAGACGATACTATCTTATCAAAGTAATCTTTTCTTTTTTTCTCTATTCTTTACATGTAATAAAATTATAAAATCTGTAATAAAACTGTCCGTTTGTATGTTTAGGTTTCAAGTAAAACGACTGAAGAAATTAGGATGAAACTTTCACAGAATTTGTTATTAAATTTGTATCAAAATATAGGCTAAAGAAAGCTTCGAAATTATTTATCTCTCGGTAGTCTAGTACAAACACAAATTCTGCCTAGCTTAGGACTAGATGGCGCTGTGTAAATTATCTAGGGTATTATTATATATACATTGCAAATTAAAGAGAAGTTATGAAATCAAACTATAAAAAGTATAAACTTTCTGTTTTTAATATACATTATCTATATCATTAACCGGGTCTTAACACGAATAATTTTAGTAGATAAATATATCTAGTGATGGTAGAAGAACAAACTGCTGGCATCTATCTACATTGTTCCAGTCTGATCGTGACCACGGCTAGAATAGAATAGAATAGAAAATCCTTTATTCAAATAAACTTAATTTAAGCACTTTTGAACAGTCATAATTTTTTTTATCTGCCATCTACTAATCTACTCATTCAGAAAGCTGTATCATCACAAGAAGAACGAGCAAGAAACTTGTGTGTTGCTCTTCTAAATAATCCTTATAAATTTACATTTACAAGTCGAAACGTGTGAATACAAACCACCAACTAGCACTAATTTATTAGGCTAGTGCAACCTCGTCGAAACGTAGAGATAGCTAACCTTTATTTACCACTAGCTGTGCCCGCGACTTCGCGCAGCGCACGCTACGGAAGCCCTCAGATATGAATAATTTTCCCCGTTTTTGCAACAATTTTCACTGATACGTCGCTGCTATTGGTCGTAGCGTAATGTTATATAGCTTAAAGCCTTCCTCGACAATTGGACTATGCAACACAAAAAGAATTACTAATATAAATTTGTTTTTTAGTATAAATAAAATTACATCAATATAAATTTGTTTTTTCATCATCATCGCAGCCCAGAAGACGTCCACTGCTAGACATAGATCTTGTTGTTGTTGTTTTTTTATTAATGAATAATTTGTTTATTTTGTAATGCAATATTAGTGACAACCCTCCTATATCTAGAATGTGTCACATTCATATTGATTCAACACTTATCCTTATCAGTATGCCTACCTTAGGTGCATATATAGGTATTGCGGATTCCATTTGTAACTAACTCGACAGCTTGCCTAATAACATTTTGTAAGCACATTTTTTGCCATAAATGTTTATTAATATCTATACGTATAAATAAAATGACCGTTTTATTGTGTAGTGTCTGTTTGTAATATTGAAATAACCGTTTTTTTACTACAGGCATATGAATATAAATACGAGACATACACCGAAATAACATTTTTTAGAATTTTTGTCTGTCTGTCTGTTTGTTCCGGGTCCTCTCTGAAATGGCTGGACCGATTTTGACGGGAGTTTTATTGGCAGGTTGCTGATGTAATAAGGAGTAACTTAGGCTACTTTTATTTTAGAAAAATAAAGTTAAATTCCTTTATTTATATACTTAAAAGTGTTTTTGTACTTTGAAACAATGCCTATAAGTGAGCTTATAGGCATAGACAACTCGTAAATAGTTTATAAATAATTTGCAAACAATATCTGATAACATCTGATATTAACCTTTGATTATTTATTAATGTAATTTATTATTGAAAAGCATAAATGCAATATATTTACTGATAATATTTACATATTTATCAGATAAATGAATTATTAATTTTTATAACATAAGATTCAGAATGGTAAAACAGAGGTTCTCAAACTATTTTGTGTCGTAGATCCCTTGCCATATGTTTCGGTTTGGATAGACCCCCCATTCGTACCTGGTATTGAGTTTTTGTAAATTTCTAACTACAGTAAAGTTTAGTGTTAAAAATATAAAGTAAAAACAATAAGATGACCGCTTTAGTAGACCCTTTGCAGTTTGACCCCCTGGGGGTCGATATAGACTTCTTTGGATTCCCAAAGGAGTCTATATATATTTTTTTGTCTATAACACAGGGGACAAACGAGCATGCGGCTCACCTGATGGTAAGTGATTACCGCCGCCCATGAGCACCCGCAACACCAGGGGAATTGCAAGTACTTTGTGGGCCTTTTAAAATGGAATAAGCTCTTTTCTTGAAGGTTTCAATATCGTATCGGTTCAGAAATACCATTGCTGGAAGGTGATTCCACAATGTGGTTGTGCGAGGCAAAAAGTTTCTAGTAAACCGCACTGTGGAGGACCGCCATTCAGATGATCAGGATGGTATTTATAGTAATATATCGACCCATAATTGCTCTAAAAGGTTTAATATGCGAACATTGAAGATAAAAACAGAATAATTTTTGTGTGATGTTCAGCTCGAGCATGAAACAAAGAGGAATTGTACAATAACCATGATTTTTATTTTAACAAAATATGTACATATCCTCCTAGGTGATTCCAAAGTATTATAAAAATAGATATAAAGCTTAGAAACACGGATACCGATGAAGCATAACGCTATGTGAAACACAGGAATGTAGTCGGTGTCTTAGCAAAAATGGTAGGAAACACTTCACTCACTCGAGTTACAGCTTTGGTACCTTTGTAAATGCGATCACCGCGGCGCTGCAGCGCACCACAGCACTGAGAGTCACACGCTGGCCGCGCGGCCGGCCTTCGCCGCTAGCTAGAGGGCGGCAGACTCGGGCGCCATGAGCGGGGACAGCGGGCCCGCCACGCGCCGCCCGTGCTCCACCTCGAACCGCAGGTCCACCGGCGACGGCCGCCGGTTCCCGCCCACGGTGCCGTCCTCGGGCAGGAACGCAGCCACCAGCAGCGCGCAGATCACCAACAGAGCGCCCAAAACGAACGGAGGCCCCGGCATCATCCTTTCATTCTCCTGGCCCGGTCGCTGATGCTCCTCATTCAAATCTACTTGGAATAAGTAAAAAATGACCCCGAACATGGCAGGCCCTAGGCCGTTACACAGTCCTCTGACGCCCGTCACCATACCCTGTACCACTCCCTGGCGGTCTGCTCGACTGTTCACTGACACATATGCACTAATAGCTGGGTATGTAACGGAGCCGAGCGCAGCCAGCACTCCCGCAGCCCACATCATCCAGGTACGGCTTCCGAAACCATACCACATGAGTTGCAACATCTCAAACAGCAGTCCGACCATTATGGTATGTTTGGCCCCGAGTGACCGCATCAAGAATCCGAGAACAACTTGAACACCAATACTGAGCACTCCTACGATAGCTATAAATATTGCCACTTGCACTTCATCAAAGCCCATAACTAGTTTTAGATACACAAATATGCATGAATACTGTCCTGCTTCGGGCAAGTAAGATAGGAACACAGCCACACACAACATTAGTACAGTACGCTCTGCACCCACTTTCCTTAAGGCAGCAAACGGGTCGGCTTGCTCCCAACTGATAGCTGGCCCCCAGCCACTAGGTCTCACTTTCTCTGGTAGACTTTCTGGGACGGCAACCATTATGAAAAACACGTCTAGCACGGCCACGGCTGTAGCTGCGGCGACTACGAACGCTTCGCCGTACAGCTCCATTAACGAGGCTCCGAGCGCCGGCGATATGACCATGCTGGCTGCAAAAGTGGCCGATACGAGGCCGTACGCCCGAGACCTCTCCGCCTCCGTCGTCACATCGGCCACATACGCGAACACGATCGAAAATGTCACCGCGAAAACGCCACTTATGCTGATCATAGCGAAAAACCACCAAGTGTTAATTGTCATTAGGGGAATAGGCACACACGTGAAGAACACAGTCACCAACAGGAAGAACTTGCGGCCCCACACGTCGGAGAGCGCCCCGATCAGTGGCGCGGACAGAAACGACAGGATGCCCTTGATTCCCATGATTAATCCGTTCATGAGGAAAGTGTGGTCCGGAAAGGTCGCGTTCAGCACTGATATAATGGGCATCGTGAGCAGGCCCCACGCGAAGAATTCCAAGAAAATCACGACTAGCGCGTGGAAGACCGAAGGCTCGCCGATTCCCGACATTGTCATAATCCCGTCTTTCATAACAGATTTCCTGTTTCGTATCACCATTTCTACTTCAGTTTTTGTGGTCTTCGTGGGCGTCATTTACGATTGAATTTGTAATCCCCTACTAAACTACTTATAATAAGACATTATGGAAACTTATGTGTTACATGGAGGACTCTTTAGTTGACGAAAACGAGCAAGTAGATATCAGTAGCAACGTCAAAATTCCACTGAAAATTGAAAAACAACTCAATATTTCTGTTGCCATTTCAAATTGCGAAATATAGTTTTTTATAAAATATAATAGATTTCTCACAAGAGAAATAAACAAATGATAATTAATACAAAGTGAAATTTGTATCAAAATATAAAAGCATTCTTTTATTACACAAAAATGTTAAATACTTGTTCAAATTATTAGATAAACATAAAAAATCTAGAGATATTTCTACTAAGATTTTTTATTATTTAACTATGGCAATAGGGATTGCAAGGAATTTCATAGACACAAACTTTATACTTCTGCCCAGTCAAGGCAAAGGAAACATAATGGTATTAAATTTTTCAAATTGTATATGAATACTTGTAGTCTATGGGACAGTACCTATATGAATCAAGAGTCAGTTTGATGTCAATCAATTATATATGTCATTATCAGTTGTCAATGACAAAAAATTGTCATATTTGCCAAATAATACTCGAAATCGTAATTGGGAGGCGTCTACTTCTTTTAATTTAAATTTAAATCGAGATTATTCAGTAAAATGGTATAAAAATGCTATAGTTTTCCTTAACTGGAATATTTATATTAGTAGGCGGTTTGATTACATGCTTTATTGTTTTTAGATCCGGTTCATTTTGATCCAGAATCGTGCGGGTAAAACTCGACTGGCGAAATGGTATATGAATTTTGATGATGACGAGAAACAAAAGCTGATTGAGGAGGTTCACGCAGTGGTCACAGTTCGGGACGCAAAACACACTAATTTTGTAGAAGTAAGTAGTTTAACACTTAAAAACTCGGTGTTAATACCAGCTATCTAATGCTTAGTATTTTACACCTTATTCCATTTACTTTCAGTTCCGAAACTTCAAGATCGTGTACAGGAGATACGCTGGACTGTATTTCTGCATATGCGTGGACGTCAACGACAATAACTTGTGTTACTTGGAGGCAATTCACAACTTTGTTGAAGTTTTAAATGAATATTTTCATAATGTTTGTGAGCTGGATCTAGTTTTCAATTTCTATAAGGTGAGTAGTTATTACACAGGTGGATGGACTGTGTACGAGTTTGTATACATTTCTTCCATCAATTAGTTTGATTTATGAGCTGTTTTGTATGAGCTTTAGAGACTTCAAATTAGAGCTTAAGAGAGTCCATATCCTGTAATTTTACTGCCATATCTCACTGTTACAGCAGCAAAATTACAGGGTATGGATGCATGGCATCATATAATATAATGCTAATGATATCTTTATCAATAAATAAAGTTTAAAATAGGTAGTGTATTAAAACCTTTTATTAGCTTTCATTAGCCTGTATGTTGAGTCAAATTTAAAAATATATTTTATGAAAATATCATCCTACTTTCTCTAGCCTTTTTAACTTAAAACTTAACACACAAATAGTTTATGAATTATAATTTTTTTTTATGTGCATGTGATATTACAAGCCTATCTATACCAATAAACTCTGTTATTTAAATCTAATAATATTGTGCAGTCTTAACTTCTGAACTAATTTATTTATTTATAACCTTTACACTGATAGTGAAGGTAATATTGTTTTTGTTTATTGTTATTTCACTGCCTAGGTTCATCAGCTTGTCTTAAGACATAGACCTCCTCCAAAAGACTCCATGTTACTCTGTGCAACAATTTCCTTCTCCATGTTGGTCCCATCACTGCCTTTATATCGTCCTCCCATCTCTTTTTCTTCCTTGGTCTCTTGGATACCAGTCTTTTGAACAGTCTCATTCTATCTTCTACATTTCTGAATATATACATTGAATATTATATATATATATATATATATATATTTGAAATTGTGTGTGTCTGTTGAATTATGTAATAAAATAATCCTTACTAATATTCTAAATGCGAAAGTAACTCTGTCTGTCTGTCTCGCTTTAACACCAAAACTACTGAACCGATTTAAATGAAATTTAGTACACAGATAGTCTAGGACATAGGCTACTTTTTAATGTGAATAAAGGTTTGTAAGGGGTTAAAAGGGGAGATGAAGGGTTCTATAGAAGTATCGTCATTTTTAAAACTAGAATCCTGAAACATATTTTTTAGGCTGTTCATTAAGTAAATATGACTATGTTTGTAAAATTGTTACCCTTAAGGGTATAAAAACTAGGGGATGAAAGTTTGTATTTCAAGTCGTCATTTTTTAACTATAATGAGGAATCTTTTTTCTATGCCTTTTTTGGGTTAGATTATTAAATGTTTTTTCTATATTTGGTCATGGTCACTATATTTACACTCATGGGCACATAGTAATTTATATTTTTTTAACTTAACAAAATTGGTACCAAATTTTATAGTGTTAACATAAAAAACGTTATTATCCCTTATATATATATATCTGTATTATATTTCAGGTGTACACAGTAGTGGACGAGATGTTCTTGGCAGGTGAGATTAGAGAAACATCACAAACCAAAGTATTGAAGCAACTGCTCATGCTCAATTCCTTAGAGTAAATAAAATATTATAAAATTGTGGATTGTCTATGGGTGAAGTTTATGCATGAAATGAATAATTTAATATTGTTATTCTGATAAAAGACAGCATTTACAGAATGTTATGCTTTCCAAATTTATTGCTATAATAGGTATATATATAATAGGTTGCACAATGAGTCAGCAGTATGTCTATCAGAAGCATATACAAAAATGTGTAATTTTATTTTTGAAATGACAAATATTTGGCTACATTGGTATTCCAGTTACATAAAAAAAAAGTATAGAGCTCATATACACTCGTGTAGTAGATGATTTAATATGTTTATTAATTGTCGTGTAAATTTGTAAGCTATGTTGAAATCACTTAGGTTTACTATTATATTTTCACAATGTTTATGTAGAGAATGTTCTAGAAAGATGTGTATTTAGACTCAATATATGGTCTGAAAATTAAGAATATGTAGTAATAATCCTCTAGTTACTGAGTAATATAAAGATTATATAAAAATAATTTCCTATATTATTATGCATAGTTTTTTTTAATGTATTTAAAGTTGTATAAACTTAAAAATTAGTAAGGAATATGATACATTCATTAGGGGTGTTTATTTTTATTGTAATTATCTAAAGCTTACGTTAATGTATAAGACAGACGAGACATTATAAAAAGAAAAACTTATTTCTATGTATCAATTTATCAACTTAAAATTTTTTTAGGGAATTTAACTTTAATTTGAGTTTCTTGATCACTTGGATTCTCATTTTATTCACTGTTTTGATGATGATTGCCTATTGAACTGTTTATATGCAACCCTTAAGTTAGGGGCAATATCGCAACAGTAGTGGTGGGGGTAAAGTCGGTCGCTATTTCGCTACACACCACCCGATTACGCGTCATAAACGGTTGCCTCTAATGTTACGTTTACATTCAGTCGCTTCCCCTGCCACTCGCGCTGCCGGAAATACTGCCGGGTGACAACTGAGCGAGAGGGCTGAATGTAAAAACACGCTGCCAGTCCTTTGACTCGCGCACGAAAAACCGACAATCGAGGGAGCGCCAGGCAGCGCGAGTGGCAGCGCCAATGACAATGGAAGTGTTTCCACTCTTGTTTACCCTCTCGCGCTGTTCACTTCCCTGCCCAATCGGACTGAGTGTATTTTATTTGTATACACACTGTCTATTAAATAATCTAAGCCACTACTCCGATTTAGTTCCATACCAGTACAGGGAATGAAAATCAAACCCCAAGTCTTGAGTATCTTAACATAGTATAAAACAGAGTCGCCGAAGCTCTCTGTATGCTTATATCTTTTAAATTACGCAATAGATTTTAATACAGTTTTCAGCAATAGATAGAGTGATTCAAGAGGAAGGTTTATATGTATAATAGATGCGCGTTATAGTAAACAAGCCGAGGAATTTAAAGATTTGTAATGCATCCGTGTGAAGCCGGGTCGCCAGTTGGTTATAATTTTGTAGCGTAAGTACAGAGTATGTATGTAGTATGAATATAACATAAGTTACGTAATAAAATACTTTGTAACTTGTAAAACATGATTTATTTATCAAATATAAAATGTAAATCTAGTATAAATCTCTTATACTAAGGTTTCAATATATTACTCTAATTATTATAAACGTATTTTTATTTGTTCACTTCATAATATCATTCTATATGTAAATAATATATTAATAATCGAAGCTCAGAGGAGTTGGATAACAAATAATTATAATATGGGGAAATTACAAAAATTCTTTTATAAAAATTTCTTTCTTTTAAATTTCTTAAAGAATTTCAAAAATATAAATAATTACTTAAATTTTTTTATTTATGTTTACAATTTAGGAAACTCCAAGACAACAGTCGTAAATTACAAAAATAAAGGCGTGATGAGAATGTACATGCAATGATTGTCCTACATTTTTTTCTCTTTTTATTTTGTTTCCTCTGTTTATTTTATTTAATTTTTATGTAGTCAACAATTGTGTTTTTATGAAATCAAACTAAATTTTTTTAATTATACTGATATGTTAAACTCACTGATCTGTAATAGTTAATAATTATTTGGCAATTCTTTTGTGGACTCCCGCGATACAGGTTCGCCTAGTGCGGGGTCCAATATATAATCTATTTTGTAATATTTGTAAGTTTTTATTTATATGCTTCTCAATACATTTATGAAAATATCATCTATGCCAGAAGGAATATAGACAGTTTCAAAAGAGTTAGTGATTGCAGTAATAAAAGCTTACGTAACAAACTGATTTTACCTAAATCTCGTTTGGCTAAAGTTAGTAATTCGTTTTATGGCAATTGCGTATAAAAAAATAATCTGTTATAAATCTGCCAGAAAAAAAGATTTAAATGTCAAATAAAACAGTTCCTTTGCAAAAAAGCTTACTATAAAATTGAAGAATTCGTTAACGATAATAATGTTTTTATAGAAAAACTTTAAATCTATAGCACTGACAATATTATCTGATTACATTAATAATGAGTGCGTAGCGATATGTTGATTATCGCATGCCTCTTACTTGTTATACTGTAATTATTTATATAAAAAAAAAAACATCTATTAAAAAGAGCAACACACAAGTTTCTTGCTCATTCTTCTTGTGATGAATCTGCATTCCGAATGAGTGGTAGAATCAAAATATGACTATTCAAAAGTGCTTGTAATGAGTTTATTTGAATAAAGATTATTTCTATTTCTATTTCTATAAATAAATAAAATAAACATTATCAGAGATTAAGTAGAAAGATTGACGAATTGTAATAATACACCCCTTTAATAGCAGATAATTGTACTCGACTCTCCCGGTTAGCGGTGGAGAACAGGGGGAACAGCACATTGTTGACAATTTTTAGATAAATGTTAATATGACAAAAGCTATGATACAAATTATACATTGGGTTACTTGCAAAGTTAGTATGTCTATTTAGCTATTAAAATATGACTGAAAAATTATTAAAATGTATGTAATTTTTTCATATGGGAAATTTAACTAAACAAGTCGATTGTAACATCTTACCCTCCAATTGGGGCTAGTTGTTACATCATCGGTCCACGATGTTACGGTAGATAAATAAACACAATCATTATTTATACATATTTTTTTGGTTATTATTTTAAAACATTATAAACAATAGACATCATTTTAAACAGTCTTGTAACATTTAAAACCAGAAAAGTCCTGCCCAGCCATATTATTTTTATACTAACTGGGGGGAATATTTTTAAAATCGAGTTTTATAGAAATAGAAATAGAAATAATCTTTATTCAAATAAACTCATTACAAGCACTTTTGAATAGTCATATTTTGATTCTACCACTAATTCGGAATCCAGATTCATCACAAGAAGAATGAGCAGGAAATTTGTGTGTTGCTCTTTTTAATAGATGTTTTTTTATATAAATAATTACAGTATAACATGCACTCATTATTAGTGTAATTAGATAATATTGTCAGTGCTATGGATTTGAAGTTTTTCTATAAAAACATTATTATCGTTAACGAATTCTTCAATTTTATAGTAATGTGTTAAGCGTAGTAACAACTTATACTTACATGTAACAACTTACCCCAAACAATTGTAACTATTTGCCCCATGATACGTTTTTTAATATAACTTGAAGTCATCATTAATGTATATCAATATCAGAATAAAATAATATTGCAAATTCAAGGTAGATATGTAATGAACGTTCAAGGATAAAAATTTTGAGGAAATAAAAGATATAGACATCAGGAATCAAAAATTTCGTAAAAGATTTTTTTACTTACTTGGTTGAAATCGAGACACATGCACACAACCTAGCTCCTTGGCGCTTGGCGGGTCATTGATAGTTTTTATCTAGTGCACGACGTTATAAGAACACAAAAATATGTCAAATTATATCCATCAAAGAGTTTAAAATCCCGGTAAAAACGCGTGTAACTTCCTACCCCTGTAACAACGTGCCCCCCGCTCCCCTACAGGTTGTATTGGGACAGGACTATAACAACAGACAAAACTATACATCACAATAGACCAGATATAACGCTACATGATAAGAAAAGTAAAATAGTTTACCTTATAGATATTGCAATACCAAATACACATAATCTTCTATCAACACATACAGAAAAAATTACTAAGTATACTGTATTTTTAGTTCTATTGCTAGCAATAGAACTAAAAATACAATGGCAGGTAGAAACAGTGAAAACTCTCCCAATTATTATTTCGTCCACAGGTCATCCCAACATCCCTACACACTAGCCTCAAGATATTACAACTTCACGTATTGTTAAGTATGTTATACTCACGCAAAAGGCGGCACCCCCCTGGAGATGTTGTGTGGGGGGCTGGAGACTGCCACGAACTGGTGCGTGTTGCGAAGGTGCGCGCTGGTGATCTTAGCGTCGGTGGCGCCGTGGCTGCGGTGGCCCAGCGTGCGGAACGGGTACGAACCTGAAGGACCACAATGGAAACGCATTCTTTATATAGTAGATATTCTGTTTTGTATGTGTAGTATATGTGAGAAAGAGAAGGAAGCAGTATCAGTCTCGCGGAACCCCAGTAGTAGTATAGGCACAGTAGGGCGGGCGGCACTGACCCCAATAGTACAGTAGGCACTGTAGGGTGGGTGACACTGACCGTTGGCGGGGTTGAGGTCGTTCCTGGTGTAGGGTGACACTGACCGTTGGCGGGGTTGAGGTCGTTCCTGGTGTAGGGTGACACTAACCGTTGGCGGGGTTGAGGTTGTTCCTGGTGTAGGGTGGGTGACACTGACCGTTGGAGGGGTTGAGATCGTTCCTGGTGTAGGGTGACACTGACCGTTGGCGGGGTTGAGATCGTTCCTGGTGTAGGGTGACACTGACTGTTGGAGGGGTTGAGGTCGTTCCTGGTGTAGGGTGACACTAACCGTTGGCGGGGTTGAGATCGTTCCTGGTGTAGGGTGACACTGACCGTTGGCGGGGTTGAGATCGTTCCTGGTGTAGGGTAACACTGGCCGTTGGAGAGGTTGAGATCGTTCCTGGTGTAGGGTAACACTGACCGTTGGAGGGGTTGAGATCGTTCCTGGTGTAGGGTGACACTAACCGTTGGCGGGGTTGAGATCGTTCCTGGCTGCAATGGCGTTGCAGGCGCTGTAGGGCGGGCGGCATTGTTCGCAGCGCGACAGCGGGTCGTGCTTGTAGTCGTTGTACCGCATCGTCTCGTACATGTCCCGGATGTTGTGAATGTTCGCCTGAGAATTATTTGACATTGACAATCTCTTTACACGACACAACCTTTCACGCATGATCAGACTGACACTGGTGTTCTATAACCCATTGGGGGTGGGGGAGGTGACACTGACCGTTGGCGGGGTTGAGGTCGTTGTTAGTAATGTGGACTCATGACCCCATTACTAGCAATGTACCATGTCAGGTTGACCTCCACGCGGTTCCCCTGGAAACCATCGTGATAAATTTCTGGTAAATATATGCCCCGTCAGCGTAAACCGTTAGCGCAGGCGGGTGCACCATTCCATTATCATCCATAAAAAAAAACCATTGGGGGTGGGGAAAAGGGGATTATTAGTGATGTGGTCTGGTGATCTTATTGCTGGCAATGTACCATGTCATGTTGATCTTCAAGCGGTTCCCCCTGGAAAACATTGTGATAAATTCTTGGTGAATTTGTTACGATGGGCTAACTGACCTAACCTCATGCTCATCTTATCATCCTCCACTGGTGCCGCCTGCGTAAACCGTTAAAAAAAACTCATTGGGGGTGGGGAAAGAGGATTGCTAGTCATGTGGACTGCTTATCTTATTGCTAGCAATGTAGCAATGTATCAGGTTGACCTCCAAGCGGTTCCCCTGGAAACCATCGTGATAAATTCCCAGTGAATTTGTCACGATGGGCTAACTGATCTGACCTCATGCTTCACTGGTGCCGCCAGCGTAAACCGTTCGCGCACAGTTCCATTATCATCCATAAAAAAAAATGCAGTCAAAGACTATGTACGTGTGTAGTGTACTTGCCTGCTTCTGCTTGATGATCCTGGCCCTGGGGTTGGTGTTGTATCCAAACCAGTCGCCGTACGTGCGTACGCGCTCGTTGCCGCCGCTCATGTTGAACACCGTCGGGAAATACGGTATGTTGTACGACGGGAAGTACGTATCCCTCTTCAGTTGCTCAGTTCTGAACAGATAATTTCCATCAATCCATACTCACCGTTGTAACTGGCTAACGAAGAAACGTTTTATATTCTAAATTTGTATTTAAAATTGATAGTTCCTTTTGTAGATTCTTGTTTATTACTTCACTTTCATTCTATTCTGTTATGTCAGTAGTCTATCTTATATATAAAATTCTCGTGTCACAGTTTTCGTTCCCATACTCCTCCGTAATGGCTTGTCCGATTCTCATGAAATTTTGTGAGCGTATTGAGTAGGTCTGAGAATCGGCCAACATCTATTTTTCATCCCCCTAAATGTTAGGTAGTCCACCCCTAAATCTTTTATTTTATTTTGAGGCAAAACAACGTTTGCCGGGACAGCTAGTATTAATATATATTTTTCTCCGTTTACCTAGTCTTTTTTCTTATTACTATATGAATAAACTACAACACTCACAACCCTTCGCGTTTATAATATTAATACGATAATTAATTTAATAAGCAAAGAATAGAATAGAATAGAAAATCGTTTTACAAATAAACTTAATTTAAGCACTTTTGAATAGTCAACAATGTTTTATAAATCTACCGCTTATTCGGAAAGCTGTCTCATCACAAGAAGAATAAGCAAGAAACTTGTGTGTTGCTCTTTTAAACAATCCTTGTAAGTTCACATTTTACAAGTCGAAACGTGTGAATACAAACTACCAACCAGCACTAATTTATTAGGGTCGAATATAAATCTAAATATACATAACTCAAAGGTGACTGACATAGTGATCTATCAACGCACAGCCTAAACCACTGGACGGATCGGGCTGAAATTTGGCATGCAGGCAGATGTTATGACGTAGACATCAGCTAAGAAAGGATTTAGACAAATTCCACCCCTAAATGAAAGTTTGTATAAATCTTCTTAGATTTTGTACGCCCTAATTTTTTGCACACGCTAAACAAAAGTAAAGCCGCAAAAACTACACCAATCTATACATATAAATAAAATTGGAGTGTCTGTTTGTAATATTGAAATAACCGTTTTTTACTATATGCATATGAATATATATATAGGGTATATATACCAAAATAACAATATTTATAATTTTTGTCTGTCTGTCTGTCGCTCTGTTTGTTCCGGCTAATCTCTGAAATGGCTGGACCGATTTTGACAGAACTTTTTTTGGCAGGTAGCTGATGTATAAGGAGTAACTTAGGCTACTTTTATTTTAGAAAAATAAAGTTAAAAACCACGCGGACGAAGTCGCGGGAACAGCTAGTTAATAATAATAGTTACTACTACGCGAGCGAAGCCGCGGGCAAAAGCTATTACATAATAAGATCAGTCGTAGAATTTAAGTTTTACATAATTACTATTGTATGAGTCTGCTGTGACCCACACAATCTGGATGTTATGATGAAAGAAAGAAAGAAAGAAAGAAACATATTTTATTCAGTGCAATGTAAAAAATGCAATATAAACAACAAACGAAAAAAAAGTACATATAATTAAACTTAATTTACCATAATAAAAAATAAACATAAAATAATCATTTTTTACATCCAAAAATGCACTGATGTGTAAATGTTAAGTCCGGGCTACTTTCCAACTTGATATATTGAGTACACGATGATTGCGTGTGGACTGATGCTTGCTTGTGTCAGCGTAAATTGGTAAAGTCGCAATAGTCTCCCTTGTTAGAAACATAGATGGCGTTACCTCAGCGCCCCACCTACCGTACTTTGTAGATAATAGTTTTTTTTTTAACTACTTAACTTTCATGGATTATTGGAGCATTCAACGAGTAGCGGTTGCTGTGTGAAGGCATTGGACAATGGAAGTAAAAAGCTCATCACTAACCTAGGAAGTGAGCGCAGTGGTGGCTGGCTCATCCGTCATACTCGTGAACGGGTGCTGCTTGTGTGGACTGGTCTGCTCTAATCACTAGGACTTATTTTCTCTTATTAATTATTTAACCAGTTGTTGTGTATTGAATGTTTTTTTCTATTTTATTATTTCATTGAATTAGTGCTAATCGGTAGTTTGTATTCACACACTTAAACTTAAATTGTAAGTAAGAATAAATTATTTAAAAGAGCAACACACAAGTTTCTTGCTTGTTCTTCTTGTGATGAGACAGCATTCCGAATGAGCGGTAGATTAAAAAAAAAATGTTATGACTATTCAAAAGTGGTTCAATGTAAGTTTATTTGAATAAATGATTTTCTATTCTATTCTATTCTGAAGCAGGTCAGTTTCACTTAATTTAATGTTTATATGCTTAGTTTGTGTAACATTGTAGTGGTATTCATTATGTACTTAGATTGTAAACGTGTATGAAGAATAAACTTTATACGGAAAGTATGATTTTGAGTTTCAATTATATCAACTCCTTGCACTTGTGAGTATTTGGTGTACTCTTGGGAAAATGGTATGTGTGGGCGTTATATGGACGCGGAGCGGTGTAAAATTCTGACGGCTGTACGGTGACGCAAAGTACTATATTATATTCATTTTTAAAATCAATAAGGACCACTAGTGTAGTTGTTAATGAAATCAATATTGTTTGGGAAACTACTCTGCTACCAAAATGTTAGGGAATTTACTCTCTGTATATATATATATTTTATTATAATTGTACCTTCCTCCTTTTATTATTTATTTCATGTTATTATTTACTTAAATACACCGCCCACTAATCTCTGTTTGCCCTATGGTCGACTGGGAGAAAATGCCTTATGGTGTTAAGTCCGCCATATGCACCTTTATTTTGTTTTATATTTGTGCATGAAGTTTTTATAAATAAATAAATATATATAGGGAAAAATAAGGAAGCGTCAGTCATTTACCTTTATGGTTCTGCGGATTTCTTGGGCTTCAGGGTCTCGAAGGTATCTTCGCTAGCTTTCCAGTTTCACAGTAGGTTTAACACAGTTCTAATTTATTTCAATTCACAACACAATGCGCGCGCGCGTCAAGGCCGCTGTACGGTCCGTTTAGTACTAGGGGAGGGAGGGGAAGGGCCCGCGCGGGAACAGAAAACTAACGGACTCTAATATAATAATCTGTGCTTACGATGATACAGGGTATATTTTGAACAAATATATACTAACAGATCTGCAGACTCCGTGTAGCCAGGCAGCTGCTCTATGACCCACAGGAGGCCGGGCCGTATGGATCCCTTCACATTGGCCCCGCTCGCTGTAAACTTATTAAAGTCCACGATATACCTGCCGACAATTACACAATATTTGTTAGATATATTCTTTACTAGCTGTGCCCGCGATTTCGTCCGCGTGGAATAGTGACGTTGACCAAATAAAGATAAAATATTTAATAATCTCACGCAAAACAGGTAAAGAAAATAGTTTCATCGTTCTAGCTTCTAAAAAGACGAATTTCCATACAATCTTTCATCCCCTTATTTATTTTACCCCTTCAAGGGTAACATTTTCACAAACTTTGTGAATAGAATAGAATAGAAAATCATTTATCCAAATAAACTTACATTGAAGCACTTTTGAATAGTCATAACATTTTTTTTTAATCTACCGCTCATTCGGAATGCAGTCTCATCACAAGAAGAACAAGCAAGAAACTTGTGTGTTGCTCTTTTAAATAATTTATTCTTACTTACAATTTAAGTTTAAGTGTGTGAATACAAACCACCGATTAGCACTAATTCAATGAAATAATAAAATAGAAAAAAAACATTCAATATACAACAACTGGTCAAACAATCAATAAGAGAAAATAAGTCACAGTGATTAGAGCAGACCAGTCCACACAATTGTATGTCATATTTATTTATATTTCATCAACAGCTTAAAAAATATTTTCTAGCTTCTAGCGCAAAGGTTCCCAAACTTTTTTGTGTCGTAGACCCCTTGCCCTATTTTTCGGTTTTGGGTAGACCGCCTATTCTTACCTGGTATTGATTTTTTTGTAGATTTCAAACTGTAGTAAAGTTTAGTGTTAAAAACAACAAGATGACCGCTATCGTAGACCCCTTGCACTTTGTCATAGACCCCTGGGGGTCAATATAGAACACTTTGGGAATCACTGTTCTAACGCTTTAACAAATTTACTATTGATAGTCTCAGGTGTGATTCCTTGGTGCAAACATTTGTAGTCATGGTCTGGCTGTTTAATTTCTTTAATTCCTTTATGCTTCACTGTAATCGTATAAAAAATCTTACATAACGATCTTACTTAAAAGCTAAATTAGATCTGCAATTAAGAAAGTAGATCGTTAGTTAACATGACAACAAACTAACCACTGGTTATTGTATGTGCCGCTGTTGTGTCTTCTGAATATCTCGACCCACTCTTTGCCGTTGCGAGCCAAACGATTCGCTACCATCGACCTCGCGTACTCTAGGATCTATTAAAAAAAAAATCAAAATTCAAAATATCTTTATTCATGTAGGTCTATTACAGACTTATGATATGTCAAATCTACCGTCAGTTCGGAATGATTTCGAGATGAGAAGAGCTGACAAGAAACTCAGCTCGTATTCTTTTCAAACAAATGTACATGTTTACAATAATACACAGCACCCGTTCACGAGTATGACGGATGAGCCAGCATTGTACTCAACCATATTTGAGGGAGCACATCGTCCCGGCCCACCACGCCGCCACAAGTTTGAACTTTATAGCGAGCATGACTGTTTCAAGTTACTCCACTATTTCAATTATTTATAACAAAAGTTCCTAACCATCAGTCTGGGCGTTACCATGTAACAATTACTTTGCTTTTCATTGTTATCGCCTATTCTTTGATGGCCTCGGTGGTCTCGGCGACTTTGTACGCGTGGAATTTTCTTTCTTTCTTTCTTTCTTTCTTTCTTTAAAAATTGTAAAAAAAAATATTTCGGTATATGTACCGTATTTATATTCATATGCAAGTAGTAAAAACGGTTATTTCTCTATTACAAACACACACTCCAATTTTATTTATATGTATAGATTTAGTAATAAGTAAAGTAATAATAAGTAAGTAAGTTATTTAATTAGAATAACGCTTTCTAGTTCTACCCAAAGGTTAGCTGGTAGAGAATGCTATATGGCATTAAGCTCGCCTCTTGTACACTCTTTTAAAGTGCAATAAAGAATAAAAAAAAAAAAATTAATTAGTATTTAGAAAAATTCTTTTATTGTAGAAAACTAAAGTTAAATTCGACGCGGACGAATTCGCGAGTACAGCTAGTTCTTGAATAAATAATTTATCTATCTAAATAGAACCTACATACCTGTCCGACGGGCTTGACCAGTTCGAACAGCGTCCGGTTACTGTTGCCGATGGTGGTCTCGGCTGCCACCAGCCCTGATGATATCACATAGAAGTCGTCCGTAGACTGTACACAACACACATGTCAACAAAACTACACATGTATAAATATACATAAAAAGAATTAAAGTAATGGTTTTGGAAAAGGAATCTTCGATATATGCGACGACCTCGGTGGTCTAGCGGCTAGCACACCACTTTACGACGATGGTCGCGGGTTCGATTCGCTGCACGGCACAAACATTTGTATTCATGAGTATGATTGTTTGTATCGCTCTGGGTGTTTTCTATGTATAATTACGAAATGTATGTATTTACTAAAAAAAATTATTTAAGTATATGTATCAGTTATGTAGTACCTATAACACAAGCTTTAGCTAGCTTAACTTGGGTCTAGATGGCGCTGTGTTAATTGTCCTGAGATTATTATTATTATGTCTATAATTTAAAAAACTAAATTCCTCTTTTTTTGACAACAGCGCCCTTGGCAGGGGGTTCCTGGGGGCTATCGCCATTTGAGATATTACCCCGCGAGAGGGTGTCGAAGTACGAAAACGAAAACTGCGGGGTAGGAGAAGGGGACCGTTTAAGTATTACGTAAATAGATTTATTACAATTATTTACCCCCCTGATGGGGGGGGGGGGGGGGTAAATAATAAATCTATTAATTTTAATTACAATGATTTACCCCAATTATTATTTATTACAATTTTAATATTATTATACTATTAATTATAATTTTAATATTATCGTGTCAGCAGAAGTAAGCAAGGTACTTACCCCCTCCCCCCATGCTTACGTAAACATTTTTCAATTAATGTATTGTTTTTTTAGCGAAACAATGTGAGGGTTGCCATCGCATAAAAAAGTAAATAACTACCGATGACGTAATCATCATTTAGACTCCCCTACCCCCATGTCATCCAAAATAAGCAAAGCAAGACCCCCGCCCCCCTCCCCCCATAGTGCTTACGTAACTTGAACGGCCCCAAAGGAATATCGCCCTGAAAAAGGCAGGTGATAGCACTGTATGACAGTCGCAAATAGATTGCAGCGACGAATTTACGTCAACAAATGCGGTCTGCAACCCGCAACCCTAGCGCGTTCTCTCATTATACAAAGTACACTTTGTGAAGTTGGACTACGCACTGTATCGCTTTCAACAATTTGCGCAAGTGGGCACTAGTTGCGGAGCTCACTCAGGAGACTCGACGGCGGCCCGGAATCCTACAGAGGATCACACGACCAACGGTAGATTCAGCAAGCAAGAAATTGGAAAGCCTTTCCTATTGCCGTCGACCCCGGTCCCGTCTGCACGAGAAATGAGTAGGTAGGTAGGAAGGTAGCACCTGTACGAAGCCTGGGTATGAGGTGAACGACATCTTGTACCCGGGGATGCGGCGTTTACTGCCCGACGATATGCGGTACTTCAGCACGTACATCTTGTGAAACCGAAGCATAGACTGGTAGCTGCACAAATCATAAACAAAATAAGTATAAAATCTCAAACAAACAAGAAAAAATTGTCCCCAAATATGACGCTACTTCTTAAGTTAGATTAAATTTAGTTTAATTCAAATTAAATCAAAAATATAAAAAAAAACACAATAAGAAGTTAAAATAAGTCTAGTAGCTTTAGTTTAATTCAATTTAAATCAAATCTTTATTCACGTAGGTCTATTACGGACTCATCATCATCTGCTTCTTCCTTATCCCATTTATTTGGGGTCGTCGTAATATGTTTTTCGCTTCCATTCATCCCTGTTCGCAGTCATCGCGTTATTTACTTCCTTTCTTACCATATCATCTTTCACACAGTCCATCCATCTCTTTTTCGGACTCATATGATGTGTGAAATCTACCGTCAGTTCGGAATGATTTCGAGATGAGAAGAACTGACAGGAAACTCAGCTCGGATTCTTTTCAAATTAATATTATATATGTTTACAATAATACAGATTCATTTTTATATTCAACCAACGACAACATACAATACACTTTCAGTTAATCTACACTGATAATCTGAACTGATCTCCTTAAACCCGTTTTGCTTCCTATGATTGCGGGTTCGATTCCTCGCACGGTGCAAACATTTATATTCGTGAGTGTGTCTGTGTTGATGATCTATGTATATTACGTAAGTGTGAAATACAAATTAATCTGTCACTGTATCATGAGTATAATTGCTTGCATCGGTCTGTGTGTTTACTATATATAATACTACTTACTCGCCACGGCTTCGCACGGGTGTACATGTATTATAGATATAAACCTTCTTCTAGAATCACTCTATCTATTAACCGCTAAACAAAATCCGTTGCTTAGTTTTTAAAGATTTAAGCATACATAGGGATGGACAGATAGCGACAGTGAATTTGTTTTATACTATGTAATGAAGTATGTATTTACGAAAAAATATATATCTATGTATTTGTATCAGTTGTCTAGTACCCATAACAAAAGCTTTAGCTAGCTTAATTTGAGTCTAGATGGCGCTGTGTGAATTGTCCGGAAATATTATTATATCTAATAATATCTCCGGACATTCATTGGGGATTGTTAGTTATGGGAACTAGTAACTCCCATATTAGGTCGACCTCCACGCGGTTCCCCCTGGAAACCATCGTGATAAATTCTTGTTGAATTTGTCACGATGGGCTAACTGACCTGACCTCATGCTCATCTTATATCCTCCACTGGTGCCTCGCCAGCGTAAACCATTAGCGCAGGCGGGTGCACCATTCCATTATCACACACAAAAAAAAATCTCAGGAAGGTTACACAGCGCCATCAAATGACATAAAAATATAACCTGTTCCAGGTGACGTGTGACGTGTACAAATTGCTGAGATCAGGCAGCAACTTGACGAGGCCGGTGCAGTGTTCAGGAAACAGCATACCGTCCGGAGACACCTTCGGCATTGACAGCGCGAACGCCAGCTCGTCTAAATCTCCTAGCATGTTAATCCAGCTGTAATAGAAATATAAATTATCTTTATTAAAAAAAAAATATTATAAGCAATTTGGATAGTTTTTTTTTATTCTATCACTCATTCTGAATGCAGGCTCAGATCAAGTAGAACGAGATATTTTTTAGGCTGTTGATAAAATATAAATATGATTCTCATAAATGAAAAGATTGTAAAAAAATAACGTTAAAATAAAATAATAATAATAATAATAATCTCTCTCTCGCTGTTTCTCTCCCTGGGGCCCTGAATCTCATGACAATTCACACAGCGCCATCTAGACCCAAGTTAAGCCAGCTAAAGCTTGTGTCATGGGTACTAGATAACTGATACAAATATAGATATATTTTTCGGAAATATGTACATAAATATTATACATAGAAAATACCTAGACCGATACAAATAATCATATTCGTGAAACAAAAATACAAAATGTTTGTGCCGTGCGAGGAATCGTATCCGCGACTATCGGATGTAAAGCGGTGTGCTAGACCGCTAGACCACCGAGGTCGTCAAATAAATAAATAGCAATGTGACTATTCCACGCGGACGAAGTAGCGGGCAGAGCTGGTTTGCCTATATAAATATAAAAATAAAACGACAAGGAATTCTAACATAAAATTTAGAAGAAATACTTACATAATATCTCTTATAGTGAGTAATTCATATGCATTCTTCGTCGCCTCGTTATAGCCAACAGCGAGCCCCTCCAACTGAATGTAGTATAATTTCATCTAAAACCAGAATACTAATTTAAGCAACTTCAAAATTATAACAAGTTGATTGACGATAGTTATACACAGTAGGAAATATCTATATATGTTATAAATCTATATAAATACTTGTATAACTCAAAGGTGACTGACATAGTGATCTATCAACGCACAGCCCAAACCACTGGACGGATCGGGTTGAAATTTGGCATGCAGGTAGATGTTATGACGTAGGCATCCTAAGAAAGGATTTTGATTAATTCTTCCCCCCACGGGGCTAAAATAGGGGATGAAACTTTGTCAATTTTAAACAGATCGGGCTGAGACTTTGCATTCATAAAACTACTATGACGTAGGCATCCCATAAGAAAGGATTTTTACAAATACCACCCCTAAGGCGATAAATTGACGCGAGCGAAGCCGCGGGCAAAAGCTAGTCAATCTGTAAAATTGTTTAATAATTTACCAATACATTTAAAAACTGTTTATAATTTCACATTGTTTAAGACCACCTCCCGTCCGAATCATCCCCCGTCCAATTCAAACGAGGATCGATATTACGACGTCCTGAGCCGAGGTTCGAACCACTAGCGGTGCCCTCAGACTAAAGTAGTATCCCTCAGGCGGGAGTTGGCCTTCAGCCGCTCCATAAGTCCTTCCTTGGTTTGGAGTGCCATCTGCACTCGCCCCCTATCGTCCAGTGAAGCTGTAAAGGCCAGCTGCGTCCAACAGCATTAGAGTAGTCCGAAAAAATTGTTTAGTGAGTAATAGGTTTTGATCAGTAAATATGATTTTAACAGATGTTTTGTATTTATTTAAAGGTAATTCTAAATTACCTGATACCAATATGGATCCTTGGGATTTTTCTGTATCATGGATGAGATGTAGGCCTCGTTTTTGTCCACAAAGTCTTCTATCAGACTACACACATCCGTTTTATTGTAACAATATCTGTGAAACAAGTTTGATATGTAATCTACTAAGATTATATTATATATATATATATTATATATATATATATATATATTAATATTAAAAATTCGTGTCGCTTTATTCCCTTACTATGCTAAACGACTGAACAGATTTTGATGAAATTTTATATGTATACTCAGTAGGTTTGAAAATACATTGTTTTGAAAATACAAATTAATTATTTTATCTTTTTTATTACATAATTCAGTGTGTTTAACCACAACTTAACAAGATTAAGTAATGAAGCAGAGTAATCTGTTACATGCAAGTCTAAAAATATTGTGTACCCTTTAAGCATATTCTGCCAGTGCATCCATATGAGGTCCCTGGTGAGGAATCCCTCCAGGTAGCCTGCAGCGTACGCCTGCTTCTCATCACTGGAATCTTCTGATGTGTGTAACTCCAAGTATGCCCAACTATATAATAATAATAATAATAATAATATATCTATTATTCTCCACAAAAACATACATAATAAAGTGCTGTAGAGCCTTTGAGGCATGTAAAATGTAAAAATACAAATTTGTGGAGAACTGGTGCCTGTACTAAGTATCCGATGAACCTTTCATGGGTCACCAGGTCCCGCCGCTAGAACTTCATGGCAAAATTTATATGTAGATACATTTAGAACAAGGTCCATCCCACCACTAGAACTTACATGCCGAAATTTATAAGTAGGTACATTTAGAACAAGGATACAAGCACCAACATCATATTACATTACCTATTGATTATTATTGTTGTATAACAATAACTGTGTGTATCTTTTATTGTCACCCTCAATAAAACTTTTATCAAAAAAGTCAAATATGTAGGGCACTCAAATATTTTTTTTTGGGAGTTGGGTATCTGCAATCAGTACTGGTACTATAAGCAGGTGAGTTAAGTGTAGGCGTGGGAGGATCTCTATCCTTTGACAAGGTTTTCACCCAGCTCAAGGATATTTGATCTTTTGAGCACTCAAATATAATCACTCTACATAAGCCTCAACACAAACATTCATATTAAAAAACATGATTCTAAAATCCAAACATGTTTTAATCCATAATAATTATATTTTTATACATAAATTAAGTGAAAGGAAAGTTTATTACAGGTGATGAAGATTTAAATAACAGAATAAATAAAACTATATGTATTGTGAGTATGGATGGAAGTTTGTTACTCTTTCACGCAAAAAGTACTGAACGGATTTTAATGAAACTTTACAGTAATATAGGGTTGTCAAGCTTAAATTTAAAAACTGAACGCAGAAATAGTGTTGCAATAGATATATTAATATGTAGTAAAATTCAAGTAATTAATAAAATCAGGTCTATTTAAAAGTAATTTGTTCAATTCAACAGTTTTTATTAAATATTATACTGTTGAAAATCAGTAATTAGGAGGCGCGCATATTTTAAAAACCCAGGACCCTGCCAAATAACTATTCAGGACTCCCCAGGAAACTTCATAAACTAGGACATGTCCTGGGAAAACATTATGGTTGGCAACTCTACTGTAATACAGCTTATACATCAATAATATATAGACTATAAATTTCATGCGGGTGAAACCGCGGGGGCACAGCTAGTTATTTATAAAATTATGACCAAGAATATAAAAAAAAAACATACATACCCGGTACTGTTGATTTCATTCCGGTACGTAGCTTTGGCGACATGCAAATCCGGGATATCGGCATAGTAGTCACTTACAGATATCTCTGCTTTGTTATCAACCCACGTAATAAAACCATATTTACAATCACATCCCGTAAAAAACACAATAAATAATATAAAAAAACTAGTTTTTAGTCGCCACCTAGAAGCCATTATTACCGTCAAAATATGAGGTAAATGAACTACTAGCGAATTAAAAAACAAGTTAATTTGTAATAATAATCATCTAGAGATAATAATAAGGTCAGAGTTGTGCGAACAAAGAAATTATGATAATTATTTTATTTATGTATTCAAAATTGACGCGTTAGGTCGGAGGTCGTGCGTGATACTTGCCAATGACAATTTTGACATTGACATTTTTTTCAGGACTTTGACATATCTCAACGGCGATTTTTTTAAATTGGATATTTGCCTTTTCAGGCAATATTTAAACTGTTTTATATATTTTAAATGTAGAGACAGAAGAACTATTTCTACTATGAATATAAGCAGTATACTATAAGAACTGTTGAAGCCCTATGGGCAGGACGATTTACATTGAAAATTGAGTCTTATCTAGGCTGTAAGGCACAATAACTTACCCTAACTTACAAACTAGTATATTTGGGTATTTTTATTGTTTTCCTCCAACTATGGTCGAATTTGTTAGAGGTAAAATATTATTATACGCTTTTTCCCACTCTCATTCCCTGACTACTGAATAGAATAAGCTCATCATTGCGGGTCTAGATCTTCTTGGACAAGCTCTGCTTAGTTTGGCTAGATAACGCTGTTTGAACTGCTCAGAATTACTTTTATTATTATTGCGGACCAATCTAAGCTGCTATGCTGGTGGTCACTCTATTCTTTAAAAATGAATCTCTATTACTGTAAACATGTACAGCCATATTTGAAAAGAATACGAGCTGATTTTCTTATCAGTTCTTCTCACCTCTAAAGTACGGCGGTATATTTGACATATCATAACAATATGTAATAAACCTACATGAAAAGATATTTTGATTTTGAAGCCATGTTACTAGCACCGATTATTATTAAATTATAAACTGTGGAAACTAGTCAATAAAAAGCTGATGATATAAAAAATAATCATTACATGTACATATAATAATTTATTACACTAAAATTTAGTCTACCAGTCACATTCATTAATTCTAATCACAGAACCACAATATATTCACAATATATCTGGTCAGGAGGCGGATAGTTTCATGCCGACCTCGCTACACTTATGGTCGATCTCCCTCAACAAGTACGGGGTGCGTTCATGCGCCGGCGCAGTGAGCCACTCGTTCATGTTCAGAGGGACTGCTATGTAGCCCTGCTTCTCTAATATGCTCAGGACTAGTCGGAAGATCCCGCGGAGCCGGTTGCTATTCATTGAAAAACAACCTTGGCTGAAGTTCATAATGCACACCCTGAGAAAAGAAAAAATAATGTAGTGGTTTGGTGTAGGTAACCATAAAACCACTATCTTAGTTGTATTTGTGGAGCCTTTATTCGCAATAATTTACAGATTCTATAAACAAAACATTAAAGTTGCTGTACTACGTAATCAGGTGGCAAATACAGTGTATTTAGATGGCAATACTAGCTCGCTCCCGTTCGCACTGAAGTTATAATCAGTGCGCCAGATCTCTCCGATCGATTTCCCGTCCAATTCAAAGGGGGATGGAAATTATGACGGCCTGAGCCGAGATTCGAACTCGTAGTGGTGTCCTCAGACTAAAATCATATCCGTCAGGCAGGAGTTGACTTTCAGCCGCTCCATAAGTCCTTCCGCGGGTTTGGAGTGCCATCTGCACTTGCTCCCTATCGTCCGGTGAAGCTGTAAAGGCCAGATGCGGCCAACAGCATTAGAGTAGTCTAAAAAAAATACCTTGCGCCAGCAGTTAGCGCGCAGCTATATTGCATAATCGGATACAAATATAGCTGAAAGACAGTGATTTAAGAAACTCAACGATTTATCAAAATTTATATGGTAAAATGGATAATAACTGAGAATATTTGTAATCATTTGTGAGACCACAAATAATGGGCGTGGAATTAAACAAAATAATATAAATAAATTAAGTAATGAAATGTACTTTTGCAAAATAACATTTACGACGTCAAAATATAATATATATACACTTACACAAGCGATCCTGCAGGTAAATGTAGTTCTTCTAGGGGCACTTTACTATCATCGCTTCGTGACGGCAAATTAACAGGGTAACCATTCTTCAAACATAGCAATAGATCTGAAAACATTAACCATAGCCCCTTATTCATAACTAGCTTTTGCCCGCGGCTTCGCTCGCGTTAATTTATCCCCTTAAGGGTAAAATTTATCACAATCCTTTCTTAGAGGATGCCTACGTCATAGTAGCTTTATGCATGCAAAATCTCAGCCCGATCGGTTTAAAATTGACAAAGTTTCATACAAACTTTCACCCCCTATTTTATTCCCTTGGGGGTAGAATTAATCAAAATCCTTTCTTAGCGGATGCCTACGACGTAACATCTACCTGCATGCCAAATTTCAGCCCGATCCGTCCAGTGGTTTGGGCTGTGCGTTGATAGATCACTATGTCAGTCACCTTTGAGTTATATATATTTAGACTAGCTGTTCAGCGCAACTTCGTCTGCGTCACATTTGCCGTTTTTGCTACATTTTGCAGTGCTGCGCCACTGATATTGGTCGTAGCATGTATAACAAAACAGCCCAGAGCGTACCTCGGTAAATAAGCTATCTAACGCTGAAATAATTTTCCACATACAACCTAAGAAAGTTGATGTAATAATAATAATATTATTCTATATATATCAGAAATTTTCTACAAACAGATTTTATAGAAACATAGTTTCTCTGTTTTTATAGAAACAGAGAAACAGGCTGATATTTTTAGTATATTCACCTCAAAATATAACTTTGCTATGTACTTGGCTTAGGCCCGTATATACCAAAATTACCAGTAGAAAGCCGAACAAAAAAAAACATATAGCTGAGAGAGTGAGACGATAGCTTAAATTATAATAATAATAATAATTAAAGCTGAGAAAACAAAACATACAAATAATAATAATAATAATGGGGCCTGAACCCCGGCCGACTGTGCTTCTGCCGGGGGTATGTTGCTATCTCCTCTCCTTAAGAGGGGAGAAGAGAATTTTTGGAAAAAAAAAATATAATAATAATTATAATAAATAAACTGCACCTTAATAAAACATTCTTCATTGAACTGCAGAAATCTACAGTATTAGATACATGCTCTATAGTTAGAAAATTTTTAAATAGTCCAATTCCTAACATTCACTGAATAAAATAAAATATAAGAACAAGAGATTTGGTAAAAAACCCGTCTTTGTCTCTACAAAACCAGCTATGCTGAGAACTATACTATTATTATTATTATTTTATGTTTATAAAATAATAATAACAAAGAATTGACACAGCGCCATCTAGTTCAACCAAGCAGAACTTGTGCTTTTTTTATCCCTGGACAATCAATCTGCCGCCTAGTCCTAGGCAAAGCAGAGCTTGTGTTATAAGTAGTAGACTACTGATATAAATTCTTAAATACATTTTTATAGCACACAACATACATAGAAATGACAACCTCGGTGGTCTAGCGGTCTAGCACACCGCTTTCCGACCGATGGTCGCGGGTTCGATTCCTCGCACGGCACAAACATTTTGTATTCATGAGTATGATTGTTTGTATCGGTCTGGGTGTTTTCTATATATAATATGTATTTTACAAAAAAAATATATCTATGTATATGTATCAGTTATCTAGTACCCATAACACAAGCTTTAGCTAGCTTAACTTGGGTCTAGATGGCGCTGTGTGAATTGTCCTGAGAAAAAAAAAATCAATAAATTTTTTTTCAAAAAAGAATTTCTTTAAAACATGTAGTAAAGTTGAATAATATGATACCTGCAACAAATCCACTTGGTAGTATCACATTCTTCATCAAGTACTCCTTATTCCCCAAACCTCGAGCTAAGTGTTCCTCCAGCAAACTAGTCATAGAGTGTACCGGGTACAGTGCCTTTGCTTTCTCCAGCACATCTTGGGGTATGCTAACTCGATCAGTATGGAACGACCTCACCGCCTCATACAGTGTCAAAATCTGAAGATAGTCTAATGTGTTGTAGGCTCTAGACAAGTATTCTTTGAGAAAATCTTTGGAGAACACTTTGTCTATAAGTTTGTCTTCATAGTAACCTAGAGACGCCAGCTCTAAGCATAATTTTGTCCAAGGCAGTGCAGCATTATTGGCACTTAGTACTGGGTTTAAGGAGATCTGTCTTTGCAGTTCAGCCCATTGGTCAGGGTCAGGAGTGTAGTTGTTGTTCGAAAGGCAGTTGATGAAGCCGAAGAGTATGTTGGTGCGCGCGTTTGCGAGGGTCACAGGGCTGGAGGCTGCTAAAGTGCAAAGGTATTCCACCAGGCCGAGGTGAGTGTGAGCCTGAAATAATGAGGTAATTAGTAAAACCAGAAATAGTATAGTTAGACATTTCCAATGTCTAAAAATATGTAGTAGGGCTGTTTGCTTCTTTTGGACTAGCTGTTCCCGCGACTTCGTCCGCGTAGAATTTAACTTTATTTTTATAAAATAAAAGTAGCCTAAGTTACTCCTTATTGCATCAGCTACTTGCCAAGAAATGTTTCGTCTAAATCGGTCCAGCCATTTCAGAGATTAGTTGGAAAAACAGACAGATAGACAGAAATTGTAAAAAATGTTATGTGTAAAATGTGTGTGCATGTAGTAAACACCGGTTATTTCAATATTACAAACAGACACTCCAATTTTATTTATATGTATAGATTAGAGTAATATAAAAATACTAGCTGACCCCGAAAAATTTGTTTTGCTATATAAATTAAATTCGCTACTAAAAAATAGGGGTTGGTGGAAATTTAAAGTTGTAATAATTTTTTAATACAACATTATAAAAAAAATTGTCGAAATTTTAAAAATATTTCTTCGGGTGAGCCAATCTTTAACCACCACCCCGCACCACTAGGGGTTCGAACCTCGAAGCAGGCCGTCATAATTTCGATCCCCTTTCGAAATGGATAAGAATGGTGACCGTTAAAGTTTTCTATTCAAATATCATCATCATCATCACTTCAGCCTGTGTATCGACTGGATATAGACCTTTCCCAAAGACTTCCACCATGTGCAATCTTCGGCCTTCCGCATCCATCCACTCCCTGCCACCTTCGTGATGTCGTCGCTCCATTTTGCAGGATGGTCCGAAACGCATTCGACCCATACGCGACCTCCACTCCAAAACCTTTCTTCCCCACCTATCACAGCTGACTTGGCTGATATGCCCGGCCCCCTGCCTCTAGAGCTGACATACTTTGACAGCTATAGCGTCCACTTTGGCTCTCGTTGTTGTACGCTTTGATAGAAAACTTTAACGGTCACCATTCAAGTCACCTCCGATCTGGGGATCGATTCCCCGATCGGAGGGGAATTGAATGGTGACCGTTAAATTTTTCGACTCAAATATCATCATCATCATCACTTCAGCCTGTGTATCGACTGGATATAGCCCAAGGACTTCCACCATGTGCAATCTTCGGCCTTCCGCATCCATCCACTCCCTGCCACCTTCGTGATGTGGTCGGTCCATTTTGCAGGATGGTCCGAAACGCATTCGACCCATACGCGACCTCCACTCCAAAACCTTTCTTCCCCACCTATCACAGCTGACTTGGCTGATATGCCCGGCCCCCTGCCTCTAGAGCTGACATACTTTGAGAGCTATGACGTCCACTTTGGCTCTCCGTCGAATTTCCTATATACATATACGGTCGCGGGTTCGATTCCTCGCACGGCACAAACTTGTATTCATGCGTAATGTATGAGTCTGGGTGTTATCTATGTATAATATGTATGTACAATATTTACGAAAAAAAATTTTGTATTTGTATTTGTATATTCTATACAAATATTAGGGGCCGTTCAAGTATTACGTAAGCAGATTTATTTGATTTTTTACTCACAAACATGATGGCATCAATACATGTAGTATTCTTTATAGTAAAATACTTAAATTTATTATTTTAATCGATTTGCTGTGAGGAACTGGTGTCCGAGATAGGCATAACCTGTAATACAGATCACCAGCCCCCCAACCGAAAATTGATATAAATTATACTTATACAACGTTTAGAGATACAAAGGAAAAAAAAAACGAAAAAAGTAGTAGGCAAATGAATAAAGTAGAGAGTACACGGTTGTGGAAAGAGAATGTTGGAATACCATTGAGAAGGGTGGGCCTATGTGTGTGTGTACGTGTGTGTGTGCGTGTGTGTATATGTTTGTGTGTGTGTGTGTGTGTGTTTGTGTGTGTGTGTGTGTGTGTGTGTGTGTGTGTGTGTGTGTGTGTGTGTGTGTGTGTGTGTGTGTGTGTTTGTGTGGGGGGGTGGGGGTGGGTGTGGGGGGGGGGGGGGGGGGGGGGGGGGGGGTAAATAATTGTAATAATTATATCCCCCAACCCCCTTGTCAGTAAAAAAAAGCAAAGCTCTTACCCCCTCACCCCATGCTTACGTAAACATTTTCCAATTGATATATTGATTTTTTAGCAAAGACAATGTGAGGATTGCCATTCGTGTAAAAAAGTAAATGACTACCGATGACGTAATCATCATCTAAACTCCCCCACCCCCATGTCATCCAAAACAAGTAAAGCAAAGACCCCCCCCCTCCCACATAGTGCTTACTTAATACTTAAACGGCATCTAAACAATAATATAAACAACAGCAACTTACGATCCTGGACAACACCCTCGCCACCAGCAAGCTCTTTTCAAAACCAATATTATTGTCCACCACGTATTCTGCTATTGTATCCATCAGCTGCTCATGATAATACTCCTGATGCCTCTCAAGCACACGACCCTTGATCTTTGCTGCTGTTTTCAAGACATCCTCATATGTCAGATCATTCATATGCTGTGAGAGGATATCATAGCATATATGGAGAAGTTGGACTCTCGTTGGAAAGACTTCTATTGTGCAGTTAATTTGACATAAAGACCATATTATAAACTTTGCTGTCTGAGCATTTATGCCCTGATCATGTAAGAGTAGTCCAGTCACTATATTATTTATACAGCGATCTGGAAGGTCGTGCCTGCAGCTGTACGCCAGCATATCCCGTAAGAGTGGGAGATCTTCATTGTCTATTTCTAAAGGCAAGTGAATTTGAAATGCCAATGGCAGAGCCAGTTTCAAGGCATCCACCAAATGGTTTTTAGTGTCAAATTGGCCTAGGATGAAGTCTAGGAACATAATCTGTCTGATGTTGATCATGTTGATGTTACATCTGATCATTTGAAGTAATGTCTGAACAATCAAGGAGTCGACTGGAACATTGAGGTAGGACAGCACTTTGGTAGCTTCTACCGCCTCATTAACATCTAGAGCTGGAGCATACCTCTTAAAGTTCTGGCAGAGAACCGTGAATGCTGGATTTTTTATAATATTTTCTACATCTTCTTGACATCTACAAGAGAGTATGTAATTATTATCCAGAAGATCACACGAATAAACTGGTGGAACCAAAAAGAAATTAGTCCTAATAACAACAGCATAAGTGTGCTCAATGAATATTAGTGATGAGGAGTTATGGGTCCATTGAGAGCAATGTACAAGGTTTGATCCATCTTCATGTGGTTCTACGTCAACTTGGAAACCATGGTAGACATAGACTTAAGTCGGCAACATGCATGTGACACCTCAGGTTTCCATATGCTATGGTAACCCTTTACCATCAGATGGGCCATATGCTTATTTAAGTTGTAGAAAAAAAATCTGATAATCCACGACTGATGCCCCGCTAGTGTATACCTATAGCGCAGGCAGGTGCATCAATCAATTACTATTCAATAAATAATAAAGGTCCCCATAACTAAAATTTATTATACAGTAAAAGTGACTAACTTCCCCGATTTCTGCAGCTCAAAGAGGCTGCGTAAAGCTTGCATCATGTGCTTATATGTCATAGCTGGAAGATTTGTCTGTACAGCTGCGAGCAAGTCACTGGTGCTCGGAGCAGACTTGATGCTTGACATCACTGTATCTGTAATCCTGCTGCGACTCAGCTCAGTTGAAACTGTAAAATATTGTCTACAATAATACTAGTTGTGAGCTGTGACATTACCTGTATGGAATACAATATCATTTACTGATAAACTGGTGTGACAATGCAGACAATTTATATTTCAATTTTAGTTCATATACTCTTTAAGGTATTTATAAAATAGGTCATAAATGAAAAAATAAAAATATGTGCTAAATATTAAAAACAAAATGTTATTGATATATTGAATCAACTTCAATCAGATTGTAAAATATATCTTATATATAAAATTCTTGTGTCACAATGTTAGTTACTCCTCTGAAATGGCTGGAGCGATTTTTATGAAATTTTATATGCATATTCAGTAGGTCTGAGAATCAGCTATTATCTATTTTTGTGATAAGGGTTGTCCACCACTAATATTTTTTTTTAATTTTTGGGTCAAAATTTCATTTATAATTTTTTTTGTGACTTTAAAAAATACATACAACACCAAATTGTCACCCTTCTATCACCAACCCCTATTTTTAATTACTTAATTTATATGGCCAAACAACATTTGCGGCGTCAGCTAGTATGCATATAATAGGTAAAAATAAAAATTTTATTATTAATAATGATACCAGAAGAGCTGAATCTCTGAGATTGTAGAGTTTTAGTGAGTGGTCGACTTCGCAGCACCCCTCTCCACACACTCTTTAACAGAAATGTCATTATGTCTGAAATAAAATATTATTCCAATTTTAATATTTAACACACAAATTAAAACAGGTCTACTGTACTTCCAATGGTTGCAGGCAGCCCTCTTTTCACCCATTGGGCCCAGTGTACACATGCCCAGGGCCCCACGATGGATTGGGGCCCCCTAGTCTAGTCCCTACTCCATGACCAAAACTATAACCGATAGCTACTACTACTCACGCCTGAAAATTAGTCTTACCAAATGGGTACAGACTATGGTCAATTTGTTAATTTTTTATAAATAAATGTCTAGCAAGAACTTGAACCCCTCATCATATAATGACTTTTTAAAATGATCCCCACATACATCTCTAAAGAGTCATGTTAAAAGATGACTGTGTATTGTAACAAAATAGTGTTTTATTACTATGGTTATAGGCGCCCCATTATTCTAATAGGTGAAAGAAGGCCTGGTTGCACGTTCAATTCCTCGAACTGTACAAATGTTTGAATTCATGGGTATGATTGTTTATATTGGCTCAAATTTCAAATTTGAATTTGAACTTGTTTGCCATTTCTATTTCTGATACACTAATAGGTTATGGTATACAATACATAATAACACGTATGATATAAATAATATTCTTTATTCATTATCGTGTTAATTTAGCATACATTTCTTTAGTTTTAATTTCATACCTTCTAAATAAGAAATTATGCAGTTTATTAAAGTAAAATATTTTGAAATCGCCGTACTTTTTTTAATGGTCCAATTATACCATATACAAAATGTCAAGAATATTGTATAAATAAATAATATTATCCATTTATCAAATATATTGGTAGAAATTTATAATTGTAAAAGAAGAATAAGTATAAATTGAAATTCTGCTTCGCGTGGAATTTGAAATATTTGTGTTTAATGACTGTTTGACTGAAGCAAATTTACTGACGTATCGTTACACCAAACAACGTTCGTGTGTTAGTGATTCACATATTATAATTATTTAATCACTACACTACAATATTGTGTAGTCATTAAATATCCGTATAATTAAATAACTATAAATACATTACAATATTTATTATAGTATCAAAATGTATAGTGATTATTTACTCGGTGAAGTAAAATGATCAAAATGATGTCAATGTCAAAATCAAAATGATTGTCAAATCTGATTATTATTTTCACGCAGTAAGAAAATATTTGTGTATATTTTGTGAATTCAAAACATGCTTTAAATTATTTTCAATTATAGCCAAAATAACGAGATAATAAAAATGAATAAAGAAACCATCGTGAGTTCAAGACCAGACCGCGAATTGTGGAAAAAAATAATCACACCCGGTGACTATACGATTGTTCCATACGAAGATTCTCGATGTAAAATAAATATTACCGGTGTTAAATGTACAAATGATAATGGAAGTTGTGAAATTGAGACTGAAAGTCGTATTTTCAGCGCATCGTTTGACGGTAATGTGTTAATTGGAGACTGTGATTCTTTTATTGATAAGGATTTAGAGTTAGTATTACAACAAATGTGTTGTGGAGAAGTGGCTGGTATCCGAATGGTGTACAAGGACCATGCAGGGGTGCTGGTGAAGGAGATATCGTGTACCATCGAATTGCTGGAAGTTACTGAAGAGCAGCTCATCAGTGACTGGAGTTCGGAGAGGTTGTTCGAAGCAGCTACACATCATAAGGTATTTCTCTATTTCCAAAAAAAAACCATAAGAGTATAAATATTTATAGAACCATGATTAAAACAAAAAAATAACACTTAGTACAAAATCAAGCTGAGCTTGAAGAATGTTCATATCAGTTTTTTAATATTTGACGACCTTGGTGGTCTAGCGGTCTAGCACATCGCTTTACGACTGATGGTCCTGGGTTCGATTCCTCTCACGGCACAAACATTTGTATTCATGAGAGTGATTGTTTGTATCTGTCTGGGTGTTTTCTATGTATAATATGTATTTATTTACAAAAAAAAATATATGTATATGTAACAATTATCTAGTATCCATAACACAAGCTTTAGCTAGCTTAACTTGGGTCAAGATGGCGCTGTGTAAAAAAATTAAAAAGGAAAGAATATATACAAAAGTTTTGGTATTGCCTTAAAATATAAATATAGAAACTATTATATTCATCCATCATGTGTAAGAGTTTCATTGATTAGTGGATAATTTCTGTTTTCTGTGGTGTTAAGTTCAACAGTTATTAGTTCTTAATGTATAATTCAATAAATACTTATATGCTATGTTAAACTTATTACCTTACTATCGGTTTCTATCCAAAACACTATATTTATTTAAGTTCTATATTATAATATACTTATGCTATTATACCTAATGGTATGGTCAGACATTTATTTAATGGATGATAATGGAATTATTCACCTGTCCATACTAACGATTTACACAGCTGGTGCACCAGTGGAGGATGATGCTCATGCTAATCCTGCATGAGGTCAGATTAGTTAGTTAGCTCATCGCAACAAATTCACTGGTGTACCAGTGGAAGATGATAAGATGAGCATGAGGTCAGGTTACTTAGCCATCAAATCATCGCAACAAATTCACTAGAAATATATCATGTTGTTTCTATGGGGAACCATGTGGAGGTCAACCTGTCATGGTACATTGCTAGCAATGAGTTCAACAGTGCACATTACTAACAACCCCTTCCTAATTTTACTAAGAACAGTTCCTACCAATTTGCCAGTGGGCCAAGGTTACCATTGTCTTCTATATTTGTTTTGTTTTGTTATCAGTGTTTCTATCACCTAAGTGAATATGTAAGAATATCAATAAAACAATAAAGTATTTTAGAAATAGAAAAAGAAATAATCTTTATTCAAATAAACTTAATATAAGCACTTATGAATAGTCAAGTTTCTTTTTTATGAAGAATAAAAAAAAAACTTGCTTGCTTATTCGGACACATTAATTTAATTCTTCTATATATTAGATTAACAGTAATTAACACTAACTCACACTATAGATAATAATTCGATTTAATATTATTATTATAAAAACAGGAGTGTGGCGTACAACTGGTGAGAGAGAAAAGAATAACTGATGCCTTCCGGAGATTCAACAAGTCCCTGAAGATGGTTGTTGCTATCGAGCCTATTGACCCTAAGATCTTTGGTGATGAAAGAGTTAAAGAAATAATAGATTTAAAGGTAAATTGTGGTCATATTGTGTTATTAGAAGAATATAAATATTTAAAATTAATAATTTGCATTCAAAATTCATAACTAGCTAGCATGATATTATAAGGACAGAGCCTCAATTTCTCTTTATAAATTAAAAAATAAACACTCAATATTTAAATCTAATTCATGTGGCTATCCTACTGCCATTTCTGCTGCCTTCCAAACCCTTAATAAACAGGTTGTCTGTTGGTTTTAATAAGATACAGCCATCTTTTGTTAAGTCCATTCTTAACCTTGACATAAATATTTATATCATCATTTCATAACCAGAAAATTAGTACGATTACATAATTCAGTTCCTCAGATAATTACTCTATGTGACTCCCTTTCGTTTTACCGCATTTGGTTATAACGCCCGGCCTCCTATAAAATGGGCCAATCGCAACAGCGACGCATAAGCTTATAGTCCTTTCTAATTTTTTTATTAATTATAAAAAATTTAATACTTATGCACCCTAGGGAATAGTTGTTAAACAGTAAAATAGTAACATATACATTACTAGCTACCCACCTTCTTCCCACGGGTGTTCATGTATTATACATATAAACCTTCCTCTTGATTCACCTATCTGTTTAAAAAAACCGCGTCAAAATCCGTTGCGTAGTTTTAAAGATACATATGGACAAACAGCGACAGCGATTTTATTTTATACTATGTAATGATACATATAATAAAATATTGAAATTCATATTTAACATAATTTTAATACAGAGTCCATTTTCGAATTGCCTGGTTGTCCCCCTGTAACAATCAAATACGGGGCTCATACCCTACAGGGGGGTACCCTGTAGGGTATGAGCCCCGTGTTGGGAAATACGAATATAGTCTGATTGACCCAAATAATGTGTCTATTTAATAAAATTCTAATTACTGTAATTATATCAATATAAAACGTTCACAGCTTAATGCTCGCATGACGCCAGCAGTGTGTGCTAGTGACGACATAACTTCCTTCTCTTTCCCACACATACTACAAACGTAAAAACTGAAATGTTTTGTTATTAATTAGGAAACATTTTTATAGGTAAAATTATACAACAATCTCGCTCACTGCCAGCTTCAATACAACGAGTATGACGCCGCTCTAGAACTGTGCAATCGGGCGCTCAAACATGATCCGGACAACTTGAAGGCACTCTACCGACGCTGTGTAGCCTACAGCGGCCTAAACATGTACGAAGAGGCGTGGACAGATATACAGCGTGTACTGCAAATAGACCCCAACGACAAAGCTGCCCAGCAAAAGGCAATTTCAATCAGGCCGAAAGTAGAGCATATTAATAAGGAATACACTAATTTAATAAAAAAAATGTTTACTTAATATAAGAGTATTTATATTGTAAAATGATATAAGGGTAGTGGTTGGACCAATATGGAGAAGGAAAGCGTTGGTAAGAGGAATATGGAGTCTATGGGAGGCGGCCTATGTCTAAGGACAATCTGATGACCCTAGGCAGTGAAGTAACAATAAAAATAACCAACATTAAATTTACTTATATATGGCCTTTATAACTATTTTAAACGACTTCGTCCGCGTGGATTTTAACTTTATTTTTCTAAAATAAAAGTAGCAGCATTACATCAGCTACCTGCCAATAAGAGTCCCGTCAAAATCGGTATAGCCATTTCAGAGATTAACCGGAAGAAACAGACAGACAGACAGAAGGACAAAAATGATAAAAAATGTTATTTGGTGTACGTACCGTATTTATATTCATAAGCATGTAGTAAAAAACGGTTATTTCAGTATTACAAACAGAGACTCCAATTTTATTTATATGTATAGATAATGGAATGGTGCACCCGCCTGCGCTAACGGTTTACGCTGGCGGGACACCTGTGAAGGATAAGATGAGCATGAGATTAAGTCAATTAGCCCATTGTGACAAATTCACCAAGAATTTACCACGATGGTTTCCAGGGGTTAACCGCGTGGAGGTCGACCTGACAAAGTACATTTGTGGCGAATTAACTATTATCGCGCGGCAACACCGTTGCCTAGTTACGACAGAAGAATAGAATAACAAGCATGTCATTCGAGACCGAATCGCCATCTTGTACATATACTAATTGTAAATACTTCTATATTATAAATATGTAAATAGTCACGACTGGTTTCTCTTCACCTCTTTCTTTCCTGATGCTGCTTCTACATGAACACATAATCATAAATAATAGCGGCCCCATCTTAGCCGCTAAACATTGCTAGCAATGGGGTTATCAATCCACATTAACAATCCCCTTCCCCCTTTTGTACATAGTTATAAAGGCTATAAATAAATAAATATTGTAAAAAATGAGTTGATGGGACGACTATTTGTCTCGTAGAAATTGTTGGGAGAGATCTGGAGTCAAAATTTAACAATCAATAAAAATATCTTTATTCATGTAGATCTATTAGACTCGTATGATATGTGAAATCTACTGTTAACTGACAGGACTGCTTAGGCAAAAACTGACAAGAAACTTATCTTACAAAGATTTAACTGAACTGACTTCATTCTCATCATATTATCCTCCACTGGTGCCCCGTTAGCGTATATTTTAATGCAAACGGGAGCACCAGTCGGTATTTATTTATTTAACTTTAATGCACACAATATAATATATAGTACAGTACATTTGGCGGAGTTAACACCATGCGGCATTTTCTACCAATCAACCATAGGTGGTGCAGAGAATAATTGTTGGCGATGCAAAATTATATAAACGTAAACAAAAATTTATCGAAGTGAATTTAATTTCCATGTCTTACATGGGGGAATTTGGGACATTTTCCATTTCAATAATGAAATATGAAATACTGTTATATGATTAGTTTTATCTACGTATATATATAATAGAAAATGTAAAATTTTTTTTTGGATCTTTTTTTTCCATTTTAGGGAAAGGCAAAAGGACTCGGCCCATACAGCCAATTACTAAAATTGTCAAAATAATTTCTGACTTAAATGACGGCAGTTTTGGCGCGAATTTACTTACATAGTTGAGGCTACTCTGTGTATGTAAATATTGTACCGGTATTTTTCTATGTAAAAAATCATCTGTAATCAATCACATTGTACAAATATAATTATTAATCAAGATTATTTCTTAATAAGTACATAGAGTTGTATATTAAATAATGTATTTAACTTTTTTGTATTTTCTAATAAATTTATTTGTCCATGAAATATTTTTTATTGTATCCAGATGTTACACGCGACTTCGGGTGTTTTATTTTAGAAATGTTATTCAACTAATATTAAAAAAAGTTATATATTTTTTAAATATTAATTGAATGAAATTTCTGAAATAAAACTAGCCTAAGTTACTCCTTATTATTACCTATCTGTGAAAGTCCCGTCAAAATCGGAATAGCCGTTTCTGCATGATAAGTAATAAAAGATATATAAACGCTTTCGTAAAGTACATACAAAGGTACAATAATAACAATTTGTTGGTTACCAGTGATTTTTTTTTATGGATGATAATTGAATGGTGCACCCACCTGCGCTAACGGTTTACGCTGGCGTGGCACCACTGGAGGATGATAATGTTCATCTTATTATCCTCCACTGGTGCCCCGCCAGCGTAAACCGTTACCGCAGGCGGGTGCACCATTCAATTATCATCCAAAAGACCTAACCTGACCTGACCGGTCAGTTAGCCCATCGTGACAATTTCACCAGGAATTTATCACGAAGCTTTTCAGGGGGAACCGCGGGGAGGTCAACCTGATATGACTGAATCACTGGTAACTGGGGGAAAGATTGTTAGTAATGTGGTAACAATCCTCTTCGTCTCATGCAAGAAGAGTAGCATCATCATTGATATCATTTCATCATAAGACTCGCTATAAGTTGACATTCCTTAGAACTTTAGTACATTCAAATTCAATTTTTTTCTATTCAAATTCAAAATATCTTTATTCATGTAGGTTTATTACAGACTCTTATGATATAGCAAATCTACTATCGGTTCGCAATAATTTCGAGATGAAAAGAACTGATAAGAACCTGAGCTCGTTTTCTTTTCAAATAAATATTATACCTGTTTACAATAAAACAGATTCATTTAAATTCAAATTTGGGAGAATAGAGTGACCACCAGCATATGCTATTACAAAAAACAAAGAATCTAATCAGTGTTCGCAACCTGAACAGACCAGTCCCCACAAGCAGCATCCGTTCACGAGTATGACGGATGAGCCAGCCATCATTACACTGAACCATATTAGAGGGAGCACATCGACCCGGCCCACCACGCCGCCACAAATTTGAACTTTATAGCGAGCATGACTGTTTCAAGTTACTCCACTACGTCATTTATATTATTTAAAGCATAAACTGTACCAAATGTTACCAAATAACAGTTTTCACCCATTACAATATTTAATATACATTAATTAATTTTAGAATAGAAAAGAATAGAATAATATTTATTGCTATCACACATCACAACACAACAATGACAATGCTCATAGCAGCATATAAATTATTATAACATATAAATAGAAATAATAAATTTACATTTTAATGTATATAATAATATATAGGTAAGCTATATTTTAGATGAGCTATGGCACTAAAATTAGAGGGTAAGCAAACCCTTCAATTTCACTGCCATATCTAAATCATAGCTTATACAGCAAGTTGCTTAGTATCTGTAACAAATAACTAAGACAAAGACACCCACGCAAACTTTATACAAAATCTCCCACTGGTTTATATTTCTTTTGTTTACAAGCAGTGCCAATCAACAAGTATTGTCGTGAATGTACGCGCTAGCTAGCTATAGCGATAGTGGTACTAAACGACGTCCATATAAAACGAAAGTGGATTCCCTCGCTCACACACGAATGCCGTGCGCGTTTCCATTGCCAGCACCCTGCCGTGATCTCTACCTCGAAATAAATACTATTAATTTTATAAACTCTGCCACATTAGTGTTCATCTCCCCCGTTGTCACCAAAGCTCGCTTAAAAATCTCTCAAATAAATACTATTAATGTTATAAACTCTGTAGTTTGTTACTTTTTCACATTACTAGTAAGGTAAAGTAATTATTAAGTAAGTTGTTGGAAACTATTTTTATATACCTTTTTTATTGTCTATATTTTTATAAATATTATATTGCTTTTGTATGACATAAGTCAATTTAATACACAATTATTCTTCAACTATAACGGTGCCGTTTTCTTTTGCTCGTCGTCTTGGTCTCCATCCTTCACATTTACGAGGACAATCATGCAAACGAGTTATTATCCACTCAATACCACCCATACCACTGTTTTTGGTTGACTGGAAGAAATCTCTTGTTTCAGATAAGTCCACCTTTGCTCACATTGTTTCTAAATTATATTATCAATGTATTATCTGTGCAATAAAGAATATATCTATATAATGATTACTGTATGGTTTTCAGTAGAATTTGGTATACAGATCAGATCTGAGGACATTTAAATACAACATACAAATTGATGTCGTACTAATATTATTAACACGAAAGTATCGATTCATGAATGGTAGGATGTTTGTTACTCTTTCACGCAAAAACTACTGAACGGATGTTGATGTACCTCTATAGTAATATAGCTTATATATTAGAATAACACAAAGGCTATATTTAAATAATGAATTGGGCCAAATATAAAGATAATTGTCAAGTAAGTGTGATGCAGACAAATTGCGCGTGTCAGCAAGTATAATAATAAAAGAAAATCGAATGGTAGTGGTGAATATAAAACTACTAGTTAAATATATGGTTAATATTTCTATACTTGATATCAGCAGATTTTGTAAAGACGATGTTTTCCATAACACCTAATATATCCAATTATTACAAAACAAAACTATTATTATATATTAGGACAAATATTACCCGAATTAAAATAGGAATCGCATCTGAATATAGCTGTATTTTAAATACAAAAGTGAATATTATGCGCTTTATTTTATAGCTGTTGAGACCGTTAGTCCCAGCAAATGATGATTATCTTTTGTTACGATTATATAATTACTTTTAATAAAGACTATGGCAAAAGAGAGCGTGTTTACGGTACAACGCGAAACCGTAACTCACCAGTCTGCAGCCTCACCGTTGCTCTGCGCAGGTACATTAAAATACATTCGTCATTCTGACATTATTAAAAGGATTGTAAAAATGTTTTATAAAATTCCATATAATTAGTTAAATAAGTAATTAAGATGATTAAAAAAACGGATAATTAAACCGGACCGATATATTCTCGTATGACATCACCCCGTGCAATACAATGCATACAGACGTTCGTATGCTGACATCATAATATGACCTTACCAAGGCAAAATCAGTCGGCTAGCTGCCTCCGGCGTAGATGTTGTGTTTATTTATAATTTATAATCAGTGAATCGTGTTTTGTGCTGCTTAATAATAACAGACAAGATGCCTAGTAAGTATTGATCGGTTCTCACAATTCTCGCCTCTGCTGGCGGTGTGTAAGCGAGATATATATAGAATATTATGTCAGATACGAACATGCCGTGATTCAATGGGTGCACCCTAATTTAGTCTTATTAACTAAGTTTTACTTTTGTGTTTAGAATTACAATTAGGTGCACTGTAGTTTAATGATTCATTCATAGAAATAGTTTTATGTTTTGTATTGAAATGTATGTGGTTATAAATGGAATATTGTGATGCTTCCGGTTTTAGGTGTAGTATTCGCTTCAATGAGATTGTAGTTGTAGTTTCCTTGTTTACATATGTGTGTGAGAGATAACACGCTACAAAATCACATAAATTTTGTGGCCTTCACAACGGGATAATTTTGTATTACATATATTGTATTATATAAAAACGAGATCAATTTTAAATTCTAATATCTTTAATTGACTCAACCAAGACTCGAACTGTAAAATTGATTAAACACTAGCCGTACCCGCGGTTTCACCCTCGTTAAATTTCAATAAAAAATATAGCCTTTGTTATTCTGATGCAGAATCTATATTACTGTAAAGTTTCATCAAAATCCGTTCTGTAGTTTTTGCGTGAAAGAGTAACAAACATCCATACTTACAAACTTTCGCGTTTATAATATTATTAAGATGTAATGTGTTACATTATAAAAAAATTTCATCTTAGTTATGATCCTATTTATAGCAATGTACATACTATAATATATAAGGACGACCTCCACATGGTCTCTTCTAGAAATCACAATGGAATCCGAGTGGATGACACAGCGAAATATTCTATAGTCACTCTATTCTCCCAACTTTGAATTTAAAAATGAATCTGATTATTGTAAACATGTATAACATTTATTTGAAAAGAATACGAGCTTCATACAAGAAACTCTCTTGTCAGTTCTTCTCATCTCGAAATCATTCCGAACTGACGGTAGATTTGACATATCATAAGAGTCTGTAATAGACCTACTTGAATATTTGAATTCTAAGGCACCATTCCATTATCATCCATTTAAAAAACACTTCAAGCATATTTTTTATTCTATTCGCTTCAAATACGTAACTGAATAAACGTATTATCGTGTAATACGTTCATTCAACATAATCAACTTCGGAAAAGGATCAATCAACCTTTGTGGTTTAGCGGTTTAACTCTACAGTGAGTGAGGGAGTGGTCGTATGTTCGATTATAAAACAAACATGTTATAACTTTTATCTCTTCTTATTGGTTTGGTAGTTTATATAAAAACAAATGATATATATCTATACATCTATATCTATGCATCTATCTATACATATAAATAAAAGTGGAGTGTCTGTTTGTAATATTGAAATAACCGTTTTTTACTACATGCATATGAATATAATTACGGCACATACACCAAAATAACATTTTTTACAATTTTTGTCAGTCTATTTGTTCCGGATAATCTCTGAAATGGCTGGACCGATTTTGACGGAACTTTTCTTGGCAGGTAGCTGATGTAATAAGGAGTAATATAGGCTACTTTTATTTTAGAAAAGTAAAGTAAAATTCCACGCGGACGAAGTCGCGGGTACAGCTAGTTTATACAAAGGAGTAGGTGGTAATATGCGTATCAGTTGCTCGGTTGAAACAACCCAAAGTGCTCTCCTTAATATAATACTAAATGACATACTGTTATTTAATTTTAATTTCAATGCACTATAACAAGGTGGACCGACGATCTGGTCAAGATAGCTGGAAGGCATTGGATGCGAGCAGCGCAGGACCGATCGTCGTGGAGATCTTTGGGGGAGGCCTATGTCCAGCAGTGGACGTCTTCCGGGCTGCGATGATGATGATGATGATGACAATATAACTTGTACATAGGCGAGCTTAATGCCGTATGGCATTCTCCACCAGCTAACCTTTAGGTATACAGAAAGCGTTCTGGGGCAGTTATAGCAAAAAACAATCACAAGGTTACCAATAAATATTATATATATTATATATTATAATAATATATATAGTATACCTGATATTATATAATGTCATACATTAATGCTAAATATAGATAAATATAATACTAGTACAATGCAATACAGTTATAACTCATTTAGGTGATTCAAAAGAAAATTAAATAATTTTTTTTAAAAATGAGCTTCCTCGGTGCTTTAGTATATAATAGGATAGAAAATCATTTATTCAAATAAACTTAACTTATTTAAAATTGCTGAATCGCATTTAAAACCGTTTTTTTAAATACTATAATGGAATGGGCACCCGCCTGGGTTAACGGTTTACACTGGCCAGTGGAGGATGATAAGATGAACATGAGGTCAGGTCACTAAGCCCATCGTGACAAATTCTACAGAAATCCACCATGATGGTTTCCAGAAACCGCGTGGAGGTCAACCTGATATAATACACTTTTAGCAAATCAGTCCACATCCCTACTAACAATATCCCTTCCCCCCAAAACGTAACAGATTGTAGCAACAAGGTAATAATCATCACAGGCTCTTATTTCAATCGTATCATTATGCCCAATTTACACTCAGCCCGAGTGGGAAGGGAAGTGAGCAGCGCCAGATTGCAAACACGAGTGGAAACAATTCCCATGCCATTGGAAACTTTCAGCCCTCTCGCTCAGTTGTCGCCCGGCAGCGCGAGTGGCAGGGGAAGCGACTGAATGTAAACGTAGCATTAGATACATAGTATAAAACAAAGTCGCTGTCGCTGTCTGTCCGTCCCTGTGTATGTATCTTTAAAACTACGCAACGGATTTTGAAGCGGTTTTTTAATTGATAGAGTGATTCAAGAGGAACTTTTATATGTATAATACATGTACATCCAAATATAAGAGGGAATGCTGCTAGTATCTTCGGAACGTTGCTTAAAGGGACCCCTTTTAATAATATATTTTAGTCATCATATTATATTTTTTTAAACTTTTTAATTTTAGGTTCTTAGTTGTACAATTAGGTTATGTAAATAATAATAATAAACTTACTATTGTTAAAATGAAATTTGTAATATAGTACCATAAGTTCGATATTCCAAGTAATTCAAAGATTTGATTTGGTTGACAATAATTAAGAACATAATACAGGGTAAATATATATTTTCATTTTCTGATATTTGTGCTGACTTGTTTTTTTGCTACTTCCGGTTTATCGGTAACTATTGGGACAGTCTACATACAATAATTATTTAAAAAATGTGTGTTCTATTAACAAAAATGCAAGGTCAAAATCTTTTTATTTTTTTCTGATATCTGTGCTGAATTATTTTATCTCCTGCTTAGGGTTTATCGTCGACTTTTGGCCTGTATATACAATAATCTATAGGTACATCTATATCTATATCTATACATATAAATAAAATTGGACTGGCTGTTTGTATGTAGTATTGAAATAACCGTTTTTTACTACATGCATATGAATATAAATACGGTACATACACCAAAATAATGTTTTTTACAATTTTTGTCTGTCTGTCTGTTTGTTCCGGCTAATCTCTGAAATGGCTAGACCGATTTTGACAGCGACTTTTCTTGGCAGGTAGCTGATGTAATAAGAAGTAACTTAGGCTACGTTTATTTTAGAAAAGTAAAGTTATATTCCACGCGGACGAAGTCGCGGGTACAGCTAGTTATAAATAAAATGTGTCTAAAGTGAACCTTCTATTTGCAGTCAAACTGGAGACTTTAGCAGAGGGTCGGGGCATACCAGTAGTGATTCCAGAGGAAGATCACACCTTCATACTGGATGAGGAGGCGCTGGGCGAGCTGCTGCTGCGCGAGGACATCCGGGACCGCGCCGTGGTCGTGCTGTCGGTGGCCGGCGCCTTCCGCAAGGGCAAGTCCTTCCTGCTGGACTTCTTCCTCAGATATATGTACCACAAGGTTTGTCAGTCCACATTAATATTATTAAATTGATTATTGTACAAATTCAAATTCAAAAATATGTTTATCTATGTGGGGTCTATTACAGACTCTTATGATATGTCAAATCTTCGATTCGGAATGATTTCGACATGAGAAGAACTGACAAACTCAGCTCGTATTCTTTTCAAATAAATATTGTACATGTTTACAATAGGTAATACAGATTCAAAAATACAATTAAAAAATCACCAAATCAGCGTTTATACAGAACTAGAACCAATGGAAACCTATTTGGTCACGTATTTTTTAATAATAAGCGTATTTTAATTTAACTTAAATTTTCTAAAACAAAAGTAGCCTAAGTTACTCCTTATTAACATCAGCTACCTTCCAAAAAAAGTCCCGTCAAAATCGGTCCAGCCATTTCAGAGATTAGCCGGAACAAACAGACAGACAGACAGACAAAAATTGTAAAAAATGTTGTTTTGGTGTGTGTACCGTATTTAAATTCATATTCATGTAGTAAAAAAACGGTTATTTCAATATTACAAACAGGCACTACAATTTTATTTATATTTATAGATATGCAAACATACATAAATTATTATAGTATAAATAATAAGAATAAGTGTACTATTGAGTTTATTTGTATAAAGATTATTTTTATTTCTATTTCTATTTTCAGTACATCTTGGGCGAGAGTGGAGAGGGTTGGTTAGGAACTGATAATGAGCCTTTGAAAGGGTTCAGTTGGCGAGGCGGCTCCGAGAGAGACACGACCGGACTACTCCTCTGGTCCCAACCCTTCAAGGCGACCCTCGACAATGGAGAGAAGGTAACATCATATTGGTACCCTTGCTTTGTCTATGGATATTAATGGAATGATGCACCCGCCTACGCTAACGGTTTACGCTGGCGGGGCACCAGTGGAGGATGATAAATAATAATAATCTCATGACAATTCACACAGCGCCATCTAGACCCAAGTTAAGCTAGCTAAAGCTTGTTGTTTGCTAAAGCGAGGAATCGAACCCGCTTTACGTCCGATGGTCGCGGGTTCGATTCCTCGCACGGCACAAACATTTGTATTCATGAGTACGATTGTTTGTATCGGTCTGGGTATTTTCTATGTATAATATGTATGTATTTACGAAAAAAAAATCTATGTATTTGTATCAGTTATCTAGTATCCATAACACAAGTTTTAGCTAGCTTAACTTGTGTCTAGATGGCGCTGTGTGAATCGTCCAGGGTTATTTATTATTTATTTATTTATATAAGTGTAAAATACATATATCTACATAAGTTATTTTATTAGAATAGAAAAATTGTGACACATGTCAATAGATATATCACATATATAAAAATTCGAACTAGCTACTGGTGGCCAGTATATAACAATAAGCAACTCGGCAAACTTACGATCCTGGACAACACCCTCCTCACCAGCAAGCTCTTTTCAAAACCACCTGATTATTATTATTGGTATGTTTTTTTGTTTTTTATTGGTATGTATTTTATATCTTAGTAACAATGTTTCCAGGTGGTGATCTTCCTAATGGACACACAAGGCACGTTCGACAGTGAGTCGACAGTGCGAGACAACGCTATAGTGTTCGCTCTCTCTACCATGCTGTCGTCGGTGCTCATTTACAACCTCTCGCAGAATATTGAGGAGGACGACCTACAGCATTTACAGGTGAGGGTACGAGTGGTTCGAACCCGGGACCATCGGAAACGCAGTGGGTTAAACTCTCAGAACACCGATGTCTTCACTTGTTACTTTACTATGTTAATCTAGGATCGGTAGCTTTTGCAGGAAAGAGCAACAAATATCAACAAAAATCAGAACAAAATTTGCCACTTAAGCTGATAGAGTTTTTTATGGATCACTAGCTTTCAGGCAAACGTTGTTTTGACTTAAAATAAAAAGAAAATTAGGGGTGGACTACCCCTAACATTTAGTGGGATGAAAAATAGATGTTGGCTGATTCTCAGACCTACTCAATACGCTCAAAAAATTTCATGAGAATCAGTCAAGCCGTTTCGGAGGAGTATGGGAACGAAAACTGTGACACGAGAATTTTATATATAAGACTAGCTGTCCCGGCAAACGTTGTTTTGCCTTAAAATAAAAATAAAAAATTTAGGGGTGGACTACCCCTAACATTTAGGGGGATGAAATATAGATGTTGGCTGATTCTGTACTGTGAAAAAAATTTCATGTCCAAGCCGTTTCGAGATTATTATTTTTATTATTCGATAATACAAAGAATTTTTTAACTTGGGTCTAGATGGCGCTGTGTGAATTGTCCTGAGATTATTATTATTATTATTTAAACAAAAACTTAAAAATGGTACAATGGCCAACTTTATGCTAGAAACATTCTCTAACAGTTAACCTTTGGAAAGTTTGATGCGGAACGAAAGAAAATAACCAAAAACAATTATATAATAATTATCATAAAAATATAAAATGTTGGTATACGTACGTAATTTAAAAATCATATGATTTTTTATAAATAGTTGTTTACGGACTACGGCAGCTTGGCGCAACAGAAGAGCATTGGGAAACCATTTCAACGTCTGCAGTTCCTCATCAGGGACTGGAGTGTACCCTACGAGTATCCCTACGGCGCACAGGGTGGTCTGAAACTGCTGCATAAAAGACTTGAGGTAATGATTCATTTTTATTTATTTATGCATTGAATTCCACAAGTTTACAGTAGATTGTTAGGTTTACATTCGACATGTCAGTTATGTACCCTGTAGCCTCTGTAAGGTACAGCAAATAGAGGAGAAAAGAGGAAGAGAGTAAACTTTATTATTTGTTTTGTAATTATAATACTTAAAGTGCAGTATAAAACGAAATAAATAATTCAATAACAGTAAAACAAAATGTTAGTACATTTTGTAATAAACAATCTCTTAAGATTATAAGTCTTTTTTTCAATATCTACAAATAAAAATATCTTTATTCATGTACGTCTATCACAGACTCGTATGATATGTCAAATCTACCGCATGTTCGGAGTGCTTTCAAGCTAAGAACTGACGAGAAAGTTCGCTCTTATTCTTTTTAATTGTTCTTGTACATGTTTAAATAAATACAGATTCATTTTTAAATTGAATTGGGGAGAAACTAGTGAAGGAAGAAAGAAATCATAGATAACGTATAGTAAGTTTTTATTAGGTCACTATCCAGAAAAGATGATCCATCTGATGGACCACCTGAGGGATAATAGCAACCAAAAACTGGTCCACATTGACTCTGTTTTGTAACGTGTGTAAATTGTTGTTAATATTTTTTTTAACAATATTTTTGTGTGTATTCTACTGATATCTCCATGAGCTAGTAGAACTATAATACGCACCTAAATGAACAGCATATCACAATGTCGGGTAAAGCTCTCATTCGTTACTAATCTTTGTATTGTTTTTTTTTAATTGAGTACTAAGGTGACAGGCTTCTGTAATTTGTATGCTTCTGTCCTGTAGTAGACGATTTTTAGCAGTTTTTGTCTACCTACAAAATTGCTAAAATTTTTAAAAATTGTGTTGAGTACCTTAGTCTCTTATCTATATCCGTTAAGAAGCTTGCATTCTCTTCTTTCTCTTTCTTTCTAGTCTCACCTATTTCATCCGTTAAGCAGCTTGCTGTCTCTTCTTTCTTCTGTTTTGTTTGTAAGATGCAATTAGAAAGTGAAATTACAGGATAACAGGCATGACATCTTAGTCTTCTAGAGTAATATCCGTATTGTTCTTCACTTGTAGGTCCATGAAGGTCAGCACAAGGAGTTGCAGACGCTGCGCCACCACATCCACGCGTGTTTTGAGGAGCTGGCCTGCTTTTTAATGCCACACCCCGGACTCAATGTTGCCACCAGTCCTGAGTTTAATGGCAAATTAGCAGGTAAGAGGTATAAAAGACATAATGAATATATAAAATAATGAGTGGCATCACAACTTCTGATATTAGAAATCTGTCCACGACTTGTCACTTTATTTCGTTTCTGCTAATGTCTTTTTTATCAGAGTCACTGTTCATAGTTCATCTTGTGCTCCACTATTGTTGAAAAACTAAAAATGTTATTAATGTATTAATTTTAGTGTCTTCCTAATATTCTTTTTATTAATGATAATGGACTCGCCTGCGCTAACGGTTTACGCTGGCGGGGCACCAGTGGAGAGTGAAAAGATGAGCATGAGATCAGGTCAGTTAGCCCATCGTGACAAATTCCCCAATAATTTATCACGATGGTTTACAGGGGGAACCGCGTGGAGGCCAACCTGACATGCTACATTGTTAGTAATAAGATCATCAGTCCACATTACTACCACTCCCCTTTCCCCCCATCTTTCTAATATTATAAATGCAAAATCTTCATGGATAGATGCATGGATGTTTGTTACTCTTTCACGCAAAAACTACTGATTTTGGTTAAACTTTACAATAATATATCTTATACATCATAACATATAGGCTATAAATTTCATACGTGTGTAACGGCGGGCACAGCTAGTTAATTATAAAATAACTTGTAGATATAAGGGACGACTTCAAAGCGTCCCTGAGGCAGTTGGTACCAATGCTGCTCGCGCCAGAAAACCTGGTGCCGAAACTCATCGGCGGACAGAAGGTGAAGGCGAAGGACCTGATGCAGTACTTCCGGGTGTACATGAACATATTCAATGGATCAGAACTCCCCACACCGAAGACTATGTTAGAGGTAATCTAATATTAAACACGAGAGAAATTTGGCTTTTCAATTTGTAGTATTAATAATAACCCTGTACAATTAACACAGCGCCATCTATCTACTGTACTACTACTAACTGTCTATTGAAGCAGCTGACAATATTATAATTGTTTAAGCTGAACATCATATTGCTCACTTTGAGCCAATGTTTTGTTAAACATAGAATATCTATATTATTTTTTTCTAAAAACAATTGAATAATTAATTCACAGCCGAGAAAACTTTGTATGTTCTGATGAACATCTGGTGCAATCTAATATTAAACACGAGAGAAATTTCTCTTTTCTATTTGTAGTATTAATAATAATTCAGTACAATTAACACAGCGCCATCTAGTCTCAAGCTAATCTATACTTACTATACTTTGTTTTTAACTATAAATAGCTACTTGCCCTGGCTCACTCAAAGGTGATCTATCAACGCACAGCCCAAACCACTGGACGGATCGGGCTGAAATTTGGCATGCAGGTAGATGTTATGACATAGGCATCCGCTAAGAAAGGATATTGATTAATTCTACCCCCAAAGGGATAAAATAGGGGATGAAAGTTTGTATGAAACTTTGTCAATTTTAAACCGATCGGGCTGAGACTTTGCATGCATAAAGCTACTATGACGTAGACATCCCCTAAGAAAGGAATTTGATAAATTTTACCCCTAAGGGGATAAATTAACGCGAGCAAAGCCGCGGGCAAAAGCTAGTTATATATATAAACTTTCCTCTAGAATCACTATCTATTAAAAAAACCGCTTCAAAATCCGTTGCGTAGTTCTAAAGATTTAAGCATACATAGGGACGGACAGACAGCGACAGTGACCTTGTTTTATACTATGTAATGGCATGCATATATAATGACCGCGTCAAATTAAAAAATATATAGTCTTTTTGTGTAGAGGGTCAACTTATTTTTTTTAGTTTAATATTTAACTTAATGTTAACCGATAAGGAAATAATTTAGGCCACAGCAGAAGCAAACAACCTGTCAGCGGTGGCGGAGGCGCGTGATGTATACGACTTGATCATGGACGAGGTGTGCGGAGGCACCAGACCTTACCTGGACCCTCGGAGGCTGGAGGACGAGCACCGCCGTGCCAAGGATAAGGCACTGCACGCGTTTAACAGCAAGAAGAAAATGGGTGGCGCAGAATTAGCAGAGTCTTACAGTGAACGTTTGGAGAAGGTAATTGTCATATTATAAATGGTATAGGAACTTTGCTTGTTGCTACGTTTCGGAGTTTGATCATTGGTGGACGCTTCCAGTAGTAGGTGGTCAGGTTTCCGTGCTAAATGTATGTGGTCTCACACATGCTAATAATAGCGGAATTAAACAAAATACCTAACATAAAACATTTGTAACAAATCCATTAAGTATGGAATATAATAAAATAGAAATAATCTTTATTCATATAAACCTAATATAAGCACTTTTGGACAGACATATTTTTTTTATTCTACTACTCACTGGGAACGCAGAATTACTAGATTACTGAGAAACTTGCGTGTTAGTCTTGTTAGTTAAATAAATATTGTTCTAAGTAAATACAGATTAACAAGTATTAGGTATGCGACAATCAACATAGAAACTGCTATGCACTCAATCACTGTGCAATCACATAATATTGTCAGCGCTATGAATTTAAAGTTAGATTTTTTTTATGAAAAAAATGGAGTTTTATAATAACTCACCACTCACTTAGTTAAAATTATATCAAATTATACTCTGAACTATTTACATTATTTTTATTATAAACACACCACACAGACAATCACTAATAATATTGCTCCTTTTTATTTTATATTTATTTTAATTATTATTTTCACGTACCCTCAAATGGGTTGAAGTGAAAATCAGTGTTTTTTCCCTGAACAATGTTCCAACCTTTTTGTATTTAAATACACATAAAACACAATTTTATAAATCTTATGTATATATTTTTATATTCTTATGAACATGTTATGTGTGTGACTAGTAACAAACAAATAAACGATATATCTATCTATCTATCTATAACACCGACAAAATATGTATATATTTGGGATTTTTTAGGAGATTCAAGAACAATACCAACAACTGCAAGCCCACAATGAAGGAAAGAACCTGTTCCGGATGGCCGGTACCCCGGCGGTGCTGGTGGGGCTAGTGATTCTAGGGTATCTGCTGAGCGTGCTCGGGGGCACCTTTGGAGTTCAGACCCTGGTCGCTGTTGGGCAAATGATAGCAATATCTTCAATCGTCACGCTGGGCTTGTGGGTGTACAGCAGGTATGGATTTTCGAGCCACCTACAGTATGAGGAGTCGTGACTTCGCAAGGGTGTACATGTATTATATTTTATTTATTTATTTATTAATACTTTAATGCACAAATACACAAATAAAGGTACACATGGCGGACTTAACACCTCTCATTTTCTCCCAGTCAACCATTGGGCAAACAGAGATTCATGTTGGCGGTGCATTAACAAATTGAAATTCAAATCTAAAAAAAATAAAATAATAAGAAGATCACTTTAATATGATTAAATACAATACATAATATACATATAAACTTTCCTCTTGAATCACTATCTATTAAAAAAAACCGCTTCAAAATCTGTTGCGTAGTTTTAAAGATTTAAGCATACATAAGGACAGACAGCGACAGCGACTTCGTTTTATACTATGTGATGATGATGATTGTCTATTATTTGTTATTGAATATTACTTTGACAATATACTGTGTGAGTGCATATACATACATACATATATAACATAGAATCTTATCACTGGATCTAAATTTGTATTAAAGATTTATTATGTAAATATACAGTTCCCCGCTATAATCCGGCAGCACTCTATAATCCGACAAATACGACATGTCTATTATTTGTTATTGAATATTACGTTTGTCAATATACTTCAGGTTATACGATGTATATGTATATAATATAAAGAATCATCATTGGATCTATAATTTGTCGGATTACAAGGTACTCTTTTGTAAAAAAATTCGGACTATAAGGGGTCTTAGCCAGTACTCTATAATCCGACAAATACGATGGTCCGACACTGCCCTGCAAAACGTTTGTCGGATAACCGGGGGTCCACTGTATAGATGTAATGTTTATTTCAGGATAAGTGGCAACCTGCGAGATATAAGCCTCCAGATTGACGGAGTTGCTGACATTGCACGGAACTATGTGAGTATAAAATTAATTGGCTTACTAATCCTCACCAACATCTTAATCCCTCCATAAGATGACTCCAACTGCTAGCGCAGACTGCACCGCGACTCCAATATCCCTTACTAATATTATAAATGTGAAAGTAGGTATGTTTGTTACGCTTTTACGCAAAAACTACTGAACCGGTCATCATTATATTTTATACACATGTTCTTTGAGTATTAGAATGAACATTGGATACTTTTTATTAAAAAAATCATCACAAAAAATGTAACATTTATTAATCAACACTTTGCTACATCAGCGCCATCTAACAGCCAGTAATGAAGTTATAAATCAGCGCCATCTAGCGGCTAGTAATCAAGTTATGCGAGCGAATCCGCGTTAAAACTATTCATTCTCTAAAAATGTGCTGACCAATTCCCTCTCCCTGAAAATTACAGTTGTATAGAAATATTTTTTGTTGTGTGACAGGTGTTGCGGCAGGCAGTCGGAGGGGCGTTGCTCCAGTCAGCTGGGACCGGGTCGGACAAGAAGAGTTCATAACAAATAAACACAAATACTGCAGTGCAACTGTGTTCCAAGTTATATGCAATATAATGAACGCTTTTCAGTGTTATGTACATAATATGTGAATATATATGTAATGTAAATGTTCTTCGAGTCACATTTTATATGGATGATAATGAAATGAACTCGTCTTCGCCAACGGTGTACGCTGGCGAGGCACCAGTGGAGGATGATAAAATGGGCTTGAAGTCAAGTCAGGTTAACACATCTTGGCAAATGGCAATTTACCACAATGGTTTCCAATTGGCACCATGTGGAGGTCACCCTGACATGGTACATTGTTAGCAATGGTGTTATTAGTCCACATTACTAAGAATCCCCTTCCTTCCAAATTCAAATTTAAAATACTCAAAATCTCTTTTTTTTAAATAATAAATATCTTTTTTTTTCTTTTTGTGGCTTGGCACGTTGGAAATATCTTTGTTGGTCTATTACAGACTCTTTGATATGTCAAATCTAACGTCAGTTTGGAATACTGATATCGAGATGAGATCGACTGACAAGAAATTCAGCTCGTATGATTTTCCTCGTTCTATTCCCTCGTTTTCTATTCCCTCTATATCTATTCCCTCACAGATTACAAAACAAATATGGGTTGTTAACAATTTTCTGCATTCCATATTTTATCGAATTTGCTGTTATTTTGCAGAAGTCTATTTCAGTTCGGAAACCTGACCATCACTACTTTTGAAATTTCTTTATTATCATAGTTTTACTTATATATAGTAACATATATAACTAAAATTACGCCTAGTATTAGATAATTTTATATATACTGTTTTACGTAATCCCCTTTTATGAAAAATATAGAAATGAATTTTAACCTTTAGGCAGAAGAGCAATCGTACAATTTAAACCTTTTATTATTTATTAATATATGTACTCGTATATACATTAAATTAATTTATGTATATTTATGTATATACATATATTTTCAGCAATTCTTGTCGTAGCGCCCGTGACTTGTGACACGGGTGTAGGTTTAAAAGATCCTTTTAGAATGCATTAACACTCACCTTCACTACTTGCAGCTTCCCCCTAAGCCCAACTAAGACCGGGATGAACCCATTCCTAATACAATTCACTTTAGTATCTAAAACACAACCGGTACGCTCTGCGCTCGTCGACTGAATGCCGCGGCTCACCCAACGAAAGAGGATTATTCAACTACCGACCTCCGTATTTATAGACCGAAGTCAGTGTAGTAGGTCGGTCTATAAATACTAGATGGCGCTATTTACAATATTTTTAATAATCTTTACAGTGGGTACTTCATTAGTACTAAACACAAACTACCGCTTTTAATATCTTTTTAAATTATTGGTTTTTTTTCTACAATATTGATGTGAACTCTAACATATATAAATATATCGAATTAATTATATTTATTGTGGATTGTTTTTCACACCATACGGAAATAGATGGACCAAATTTAGTTTAATAGGAATATTTCTTAATTCCTAATGCTTGACGTTTGGTTAAAAATTGTTTAATGTTAAAGGGTTTTTTTAAATATAATATTAATAAGATGGTGGATGAATGTAATTAAATAATTGTTAACTGATATATTTATTATATTTTATTAAGTTTTGATAGTAAACCTGCAGGTCTATGAAATATTTTAGTTGTATTTATTTATATTTTAAGTATTTTATACTATAACAAAATGCTAATTTTACTAAATATAGTAACTAGGTAGGTACTAACTAAACTGTTGATGTTACTTGTACTTGTTGACTTAGTTGTTTCGAATCTCCCATTCGCCACTGACGGTTCGCGAGTCTACGGTTGCCAAATTTCTGCATTGGTGTCAAATATTTAAATTAAATTTAAATAAATATTTATCTTATTTATATATCAATATATATTGAAATATTTATTTCGTATTATGGTGTCGTAACGTCAGAAATTTAACGTTAATTACATACATGGGGCATGTAGGTAATTAATCCAAATAATAATAGGTAATTAATGGAATATTCAGGAAAATTTCACTCAAAAATAAAGTGAAAATCTAAAAATTAACTTTCAAATTAAATAATTTTGTTTCTGTGTTTCTTTAATATTCTTCCGATTTTCTAGCCCTGTAGGTATAGACTACTGTTAGATATACCACTTTCCATCATGCAAATATGTGCCGTAATACAGAAAAAAGGTAGTTCAATTCCATTTGGCTGATGTGCACTAAGATATATTTCCTTTAATGTATAAAATATTTTTATACCTATGCCTTGTTAATAAATTATGTACTTATAATACGTACTATTGATATAATAAATGACTATTTTCTAATCGCGTTGTTTATATTTATAAATATGATAACCCTTTAAGAAAATATCAATATTCTCAAGGAAATATTTTAATATTTCTATGAGAATATTGGATTTTAATCTCTTTTTTTTATGTTTTAAAGCAACGAGTTTGCGATAGAGATAGTAATACTGGTTCACGACGATAGAATATAAAAAAAAACATATGTATTAAAAATAAAATCTTTATTATAATTATGATTATTCCCATTCCAATTATTCATAATTTTAATATTGCCGAAGCCTTCTGCGCGTATCTATATAGTTTTACCAAAGTATTAATTGATCTTAATTATGTATTAACAAACAAACCGTTTTAGATTTGCAGCTGCAGCCGCTGCAAATAGTTCATACATAAACCGTTGATCGGAAACAATTTTGAAAAATGTACACGTTATAGTAAATTAGTACATATTTCATATTATAAATTAAAGGACGGGTAAATTTTGTATCCATATAAACATAAGGTATAATACCTATAGGTATTTCTGTAGAAGGCCTCACAACATCCTCACACTTATGGCACTAAAAATAACATTATAAACATAAACAATCCGTAATTATATACTTAAAAATGATGATGGTAATAGCCATAGACATATAGATAGGCAGAATTCATAGCAATATTGTCAAAATATTGCGATCGTCATAAGATGCGATGAAATAAAAAATAAACTGGTCATGTAGGACATTTTAGCCGCTTATGAACATAAAGTTTTTTTTATTAATATTTTTCCCTACTGCCTATTTCAGTATACAAATTCACTTGAGAACTGACAAGAAATTCAACAGGTTTTTTTTAACCCCGTTTTTTACTGGAATAACAATCAAATTGACCACTGCATCATGCAGTGCATGCCATGTTACAAAATTCGACTATATACATGAACAAGTACAGTAGTTCACTCTTTATATTCCGAGAGAATTTTGTGAGCATGGATGGACGGATTTTTGTTACTGTTTCACGCTAAAACTCATCATCATCATCTGCTTCTTCCTTATCCCATTTATTTGGGGTCGGCGTAATATGTTTTTCGCTTCCATTCATCCCTGTTCGCAGTCATCGCGTTATTTACTTCCTTTCTTACCATATCATCTTTCGCACAGTCCATCCATCTCTTTTTCGGCCTTCCTCTGCTTTCACGCTAAAACTACTGACTGGTTTTTTTAATGAAACTTTACAATGATATAAGCTATATCATACATCAGACTAACACAGGCTATAAATTTCAAGCGCGTGAAACTGCAGGCTCAGCTAGTCTTAAATAAGAGTAACCGTCTTATAAATTGTTTACGTCTATGGCTAACACCAGATTAGTAACATTACTGTCTTTTTGTGCACAAACTAAACCCACAGTTTAAAATTAGTTATTAGTAATTCAATATTCATATACTTCACCTTATAAATACTAAATATGTACTATTTGCCGAATTGAAACAAATCAACCGTTATTCAAGAGCTTTTACGAAATTTTCTTGCTCGTTCATCTTGCGATGAGTGCTTAAGTTTAAAATTTAGAATATTTGATAAATAATTTCTATTCTATTATTAAATTGGGATCATTCATAAATAACGTATAAATTTTTATTTTATTTTTGATCCCTCCCCCTATTCGTCACAGCTGGTCGCTTTTGCAAGACAACAGTAAATTTTAGTGCAACGTCAAAAAAATAAACTACCAATCTACTTGTAAATCAGACCTTCTGATGTATAGATATAAGGACCGTAATTATGAACATACATGTATTACTAGAATACTAATGAAACAAAAATTAATTTTTAGAAAATAATATTTTATTGTCGAATAGGGTAGTAGTAAGAATACAATGTTTATTTTGGCTAGTCTCGTATTACATTTATTTTTACATTAAAAAATAAAACATAGACAATATCCAGAACAATGTTTACAAGTAGAGAGGCATAAAACAGAGTTTTTACACGATCATTTATTTTACTATACACAATTACGTTAAACAAATTGTTAATAATTAAAACAATTACACAACTATCATTAGAATTTGACATACACTCTATTTCTCATAAAACGACTTGTATATTTTAGGGATGATCGATATTCATCGATTCTTAGTCGTAAAACATCGATAATTTTTATCGACGTCAGTCTTGATAACAGTGATAAAACAACAGATTCGAAATGTGTGAGGTTGCATATAATACACAAAAAAGTTCCGTATTAACGGCCTAAAAAATCGAGAATGGGGAATAACAACGATAAACCAAAGGGAAACATCGATGGTTTCTAACCTTATTCGGTATCTATGATACATCGACATCTTGACTTGTCCATATCGGTACTTTTATAATATCGATCATCCCTAGTATTTATTTTTAAGCAGTCACATCATTGACTAGCTCAATACCATAAACTAAAAAGCCATAGTTTGGATTTTGGAAGAACGATGATAGGTTAATTTTGGCACAAAAGAGTGTTTAGAATATACATTATTACTCTATGGTACTACATTTATTGATATTACGGAAAATAGGCACTTCTGGCTTTTATTTACATATATTTATATACAATTGTTTTTATTTTTAAGAAATATGATGAAATTGTAAAAAAAATATTTTGAACTATTATCAGAATTTAATACATTTAATTAACTAACTTGTTATTTTAGAATATGAAAATTGATTATAATAGTTCATAAGTAGAATAAAACTTAACTTTATGTATATGTAACTTTGCAATTGCCTGTTGCAATGAGAATAATCATTAAACGTCTGTTTTAATGAGAATTCTCATGCAATTGTCCCATAATGAGAATTGCTACTCAACTGTATCCAGTTTATTGGCCCTGTAATCTAGTGATTTACATTGATAATATATCGCTTTAAATTCTAATACAGCATGCCTTTATTAATATTACTTTAGAATTAACATTACTCTATTGAACATCTTATCTTGATATGCCCATCACAATATCACAAATTGTCAGGGAAACCCATTGAATACAAAAATGACACATAATGTCAGCTTTTTTAATTTAATTTACTTCAAAATCTTGATATTTCTGCATACATGACATCTATTACATATAATAAGTTATATATATTTTGTTACACTCCAAATGAAGAATTCCTATTTATTTCCTAAATACAAAACATATTTGTGATAAAAACAAGAATGTTTGATGCATATTTCTAATATAATAATACAATTTGGCTTTAAACCTTGAGCACTTCCCCAACACGATGTATCACTTAACAAAACTTAATGCAACATTCTTTTTGGCAGCCCCTTTTCATAAGATATTTAATATTGTAATAGAATGACTATAAATATATTGAGCAAATAAAACGGACATTTATATACATACTTAATAGATATGGGAATTTTTGTCGGATTTTGAGTTCAGTAATGAGAATTCTCATTAAGAATATCTCACTTTTAGACTAAATAATTAATGAACATGATTTTATGAATTATAAATAAAAATTTTAATTGTGTTAATATTAAACGTTAAGCATAAAAATAAAAAAAGAATACATAGTCGTCATCACAACCACATTAACATAATTTGTGAACCAGTCATATCTTCACACTCAGTATGTTTCTGGCAAGACGAGCCATTTTAGTAAATTAATCTAAATTAAAAAAACAAAAGAAATAGCTAATTGTACACATTCTAAAACGGGACACCGTGTTAATATTTTTTTATGAATAATGCATCAACAACGAGTGTTTTTCTGTCGCTAATGGCAACAGTAGATAGAAACGACTATGGTGATTTTTGTCTGTTTGTAATATTTGTTTATATACAACCATCTCCAGTCGATGATTACTTGTTTTATTGTCTAATACACCTGCGAACAATTCTCAAATAAAACACTATATTAAAAGTAGATATATGATGACATAGATGGGTCTTGTGAGGACTGGTCTGTCCAGGTTACGGTCATTGCTTACATTATTTCCTTTTGACAAAAAAGTAATAGCATATGCTGGTGGTAACTATATCCTCCCAAATTTGAATTTAAAAATATATTTTGTAAACATGTACAAGTTGATTTGAAGAGAATAAGAGCCGAGTTTCTTGTCAGTTCTTAGCTCGAAAGCACTCCGAACTGACGGTAAATTTGATATATCATAAGAATAAAGATATTTTAAATTGAAATAATTTAAATTCAAATAAATATTTTGGTGATAATCTATATGAACCTTTTAGGAGTTGCAGTTACTATATTCAATTGTTTTTAGATTTTTATGCTTTTATTCAGAATTGTCAGCAACTGGAAGATGAAGTATGATTGCAAGAAATCACAGTAAATATCCAATTTGTGCAATGTGTACAATTATAAATAACTATGAAAAAAACAGAAGTACCCACGATTTCACATATAAAACACTAATAAACTCTGAAAGTCCAACAAACAACATAATTAATTTTGCTCATGCAGTTCAATACAGAATACCTGTTTATTGAATTGGCACTGCTAGTGAAATTTTGGATATGTCCGATTGTATAAAATAATTTACAAGTTACATGTTAAAATTACAATTGTAACTATTTTGTAATAAGTATTGTAACGTAAGTTTGAGATATTATCATGAATATATATTTATAATAAACATATGATAAATATATATAAATAAAAAAAACATGATTGACTTGAAAACAAAAATGTTGTAAATGTAATAGTTTTTTGTCAGTATAATAATATTAATAATATATAATATTATATTTGTACTTCACTCAATTTGCTCTAAATAATGGCATTCCATATGCTCATATTGTATCTGATACATGAGCAATATTATAATTATAGATATGACAATTAAAAAAAAATAACATTAGAGGTATAAGATAGTTGCAATCTGTTTCAATTTCAAAGACTTTCCAATTTGTTATTACATATAAACCACTTGCCAATTGCAGATAAATACTTGTATTGTTTAAAATTGCTACAGTCAAATGTATCATACATAATAACAAACAATAAACTTTAATATGTTTAGAATAGGAAACAAATTAAAATGTATTACATAAGCATAGTCCAGACGAATTACAAAACAGTTACAATCGTAGTTTTAAAGCTGTGAATTTTATAAAATTTCTCATTTAAGTACATTGGCTGTGCATTACAACAAGTGTGTGAAAATGCGAGCCATTCATTTGATGTTCCACAAAAATGATTCAATTTAAAATTGTGCCATCTACAATTTACACCATTAACATATATATTAGTACAAATCCTATACAATATTACTTAAAAATTTCTCCATTCACGATTCTTAATTTGATCCACCACAATTTTGATTTTATCAATAAAAAAGTATGTTGTGTTAATCTGTTTGTTTGTACATAATATTGTCAAAAATTTGCCAGCAGATCAATGAGATCTGATTTGCAAACTATATTCTATAAGAGTCATCGGGGCCAGGTTAAGTCACATAAGACTTTTGGGTAACACCTTTCAATTATTACAAAATATTTTTATATATACACCAATAAATGTTAAAATAAACATATTAATTTAATTGTAATTGGAAATTATTTTTGTTATTTACAAACGATTATTAATAGACCATGTCCTGTCAAAGCTGATTTAAGAATACATTCAAGATTTAAAAACAAGTATTAAATAAAGATTAAAAATATATGAATTCATTCCTATTGGATTTTAATTTTATAACACATATAGCTTGGTTATATTATAGTAATTTCAATTTTGATTTCTACCTTATAATTACGACTCAGATATAAAATAATACATTATATGATATGCATGAAAGTACTATTATTATTATAAATAATAATAATATATAATATAATAGTTGCCTTCTCCTCTCCTTAAGAGGGGAGAATTTTTGTAAACTAATAATATATTTATTTTCTTCACAATAACATATACATAATATAAAGTGAAACAAGCCTGTGAGGCATGTAAAATTCGATATTCAAATGTAAAACTTGGGGAATTAATGCCCGTACTAGGTATCCGAAGAGCCTGTGACACGTGTTACCTGTCACGTGACCGCTGTCTGGCTGGCTAATAGTGTTCGTAAGACGAAATCGTCAGGCAGTTCAGTTTAAGACGTAAACTGCCTGGAAATAAGAGTTCATTTACACCCGCGGGTCCGGTCCACTAGATCTTACGTACTGAGATCTGCTATATACAAACCTACTAGATAAAAACCATCGCTCTTAAGAATATACTTCAATTCTTGTCCCTGATGGGTTTAGTTGGCGAATTTTGAAAAAGGGCGAGCACAATAGGGCTGTCGCATTGCTACAGATGCTACAAACATCTGACAATAGCCAAAACAACCCAAAAAAAAAGATCATCTAGTCTATGTGTAAAACCTGACACCGACAAATAATTTGAACACAAATCCACTCCTAATTCGTTAACAAATTAACACAACATTAACAACATTAAATTAATTACCACTAACTACGGCTACGTTAAAAATTTACTACGAACTGTACAAACAACCACGATTGAAACAAACCTCGATCCCTTCGAACTCGTCTGTCACACGTACAAAACTATAACACCACGAAAGTCACGTCACACATTGTCATAAAATTTGAACTCACTGCTACTACCCACAATATCGGCCACAACCTACCGGGTGACCGAGCGCCGGTCGGTGTACTGTTTTGTTGGCTTCCGCCGGGCCGGATGCCGCCGGTCCGGGCCGGGGGCGGCATCACAACTGCTTGTGCTTGCCGTTGATGGTGGGCGTGGTCGGCGTGGGAGGCCCTAGGGCTCTCTCGGCGGCCGCCGCCGCAGCCCGCTCCATTCCCTTCTCCAGACACGCTTGGTACATCGGCTTCATTACCTGTACATGTATATCGATTAATAATAATAATCTTCGGACAACTCACACAACGCCATCTAGGCGGCGGCGGTAATCACTTACCATCAGATGAGCCGCATGCTCGTTTGTACAAAGTGTTATATAAAAAAAAAAATTATATGTTTATATAATATAGATACACTTACATTATCCCATAACATGTTTGCAGTGTCGTCTATAGTAACGCCTACTTCTCGCATTTCGCCGCTGTATCTGTAACGTAAAAAAAAATACATTAATGGACCCCAAATCATAGTCTGAATCCTAAATTAACTTTACAAAATTTTCGTGTTTATATTCCTCCCAAACGGCTTGATCGGTTTTGATGAAATTTTATATTTATTTATTTACTTAATGCACAAATACAAAAAACTTTATTTCTTTGTATTTGCATATGGCGGACTTAAAACCATAAGGCATTTTCTCCCAGTCGATCATAGGCAAACAGAGATTAAATGGCGGTGCATTTAAGTGAATAATAACATGAAATCATTATCATTACATAGTATAAAACAAAGTCACTGTCGCTGTCTGTCCGTCCCTATGTCCCTATCCCTATATTGGTTTTTTTAATAGATTGAGTGATTCAAGAGGAAGGTTTATATGTACAATACATATACATCCGTGCAAAGCCGGGTGGGTAGCTAGTAAATAATAAAAGGAACTAGGTACAATTATAATAAAATTCATAAATTGAAATATATACACACATCAAAAAATATTATATATATATTTGTTGTGTACCAAGTATAAATCAGTACTTTTGGCGTGACAGCGAAACAGACAGAAAGAGTTACATTCACATCTATAACATTAGTAAGGAGTAAGATAGTGAGGTGCGAAAGTGTTTCTTCATACCTGATGTACGCCCAGAGCACGAGCGTGAGTAGGGCTAGCCCCATCACCAGGTTGCAGAGGTTGGCGATGGGGTAGAGCCCCACCAGGCCGAACACGCCGCTGCACACGTAGAAGAACAACGCGATCGCGAAGAACACCGACGGAGTGCGCGCCGCCTTGAAGATGTTCTTGCTCTCGTTGTGGGCGCGGAACTGCTGGAACGTGTCTTCCAGGTCCTGCAAACGATAGAATAGAATAGAATAGAAAATCATTGATTCAAATAAACTTACATTGAAGCCCTTTTGAATAGTTATAACATTTTTTTTAATCTACCGCTCATTCGGAATGCTGTCTCATCACAAGAAGAACAAGCAAGAAACTTGTGTGTTGCTCTTTTAAATAATTTATTCTTACTTACAATTTAAGTTTAAGTGTGTGAATACAAACTACCGATTAGCACTAATTCAATGAAATAATAAAATAGAAAACATTCAATACACAACTGGTTCAACAATTAATAAGAGAAAATAAGTCATAGTGATTAGAGCAGATCAGTCCACACAAGCAGCATCCGATTTAAATACTTTTTTATGCTACGATGGTGCCAAAAAGCTGGTAAATGGTTACCGTAACCTATGAACCCCTGAAAAATCAGAGTAGTCGCGTGCGCATCGCCTTAAAAAACCTTAATATACCCCTTCTTGAAAAACCCCATGCTGTAGTTTCTCGAGAAAACCTTGTAGTTCAGGTAGGTAGTTAATTCCACAATGTAAGTGTACACGGGAGGAAGCTCCTCTGAAATCGCACTATCCGAAACCACTTACGTTGTAGCGTGTAGGGATGTTTTTTTTTTATACTACTGGTGGCAAACAAGCACACGGCCCATCTGATGGTAAATGGTTACCGTAACCTATGAACGTCTGAAACACCAGGGGTGTCACGTCCGCGTTGCCGACCCTTAAGAAACCTTAATATACCCTTCTGGAAAAAACCCACGCTGTAGTCTCTAGAGTAAACCGTCTTTCACCTGGATACTAGGATAATGGGGTCCCTATGACTAGTCTCTCGAGTAAACCGTCTTTCACCTATTAGAGGTCCTGGATACTAGGATAATGGGGCCCCTATGACTAGTCTCTCGAGTAAACCGTCTTTCACCTATTAAAGGTCCTGGATACTAGGATAATAGGGCCCCTATGACTAGTCTCTCGAGTAAACCGTCTTTCACCTATTAGAGGTCCTGGATACTAGGATAATGGGGCCCCTATGACTAGTCTCTCGAGTAAACCGTCTTTCACCTATTAGAGGTCCTGGATACTAGGATAATAGGGCCCCTATGACCATAGTAATAAAGCAGTATCTTGTTAGAATAGACAGTGATTTTGAACATGACTCTTTAGAGATGTATGTGGGGTTGCCATTCAAAACAAACCAGGCAAAAATAATTTTAAAAATCGTTCTGCGATGAGGGGTAGATGTTCTTGCGAGACATTTATATAAAAATTAACAAAAACGAACGAACAAATTGACCATAGTCGGTAAGCATTTGTTAAGACTGATTTTCAGGCGAAAGTTGAGTAGCTATCGATTATCGTTTGGTAATGGAAGATATAGGGATAGGGACTAGATTAGACTAGTGGGGCCCAATCCATCGCAGGGCCCTGGTCACATGTCCAGTGTGCCCAGTGGGGAAGAGGGGCCTGATTGTAGATAGAAAATAATAAAATAAAACATATTAAAAATCTTAATAAAAAATCAAGTTGTGACCTGTTTTAGCTGATCGCAGTAGGCCTGGCTGAACTCGTCGCCGCCCATCTTCCGCTTGGCGTGGAAGGCATGAAGCGCCTTGTCGCGGACGCGCGTGTGCTCGGCCTCCAGCAGCTGCCCCTGCAGGTAGGGCTTCGCTCCGCCGCACACCTCGTCCATCAGGGTCATGTACACTTCCTTCGCTTCCGCCACTGCTGTTAGATTGTTGGCTTCCGCTGTAGCCTGATGGTCAATAATCATGTGAGATAATACAGGTGGTGGACTAAAGAGCGAGTCTTAGTTATTGTATTTAGGTAATACGGAGGAGGAATAGTGTAAAATCAAGTCTAAGGACAAACAAGACAGAAAACTAAAGGACATAATATGCAAATAACAAGTGGCGTAGTTAGGTAACCAAAGGCTCTGGGGCAAATCCAAAAATGAGGCACGACCGCTCAGCAGTGGGGCCCTACTTTAGGTACAGTTTTACTAAAACGCACATATCGCTATCCGTCAAATTGACTGCCAACCCACAGAAAGAATTTAAGGGAATTCCGAAGGTATAACTTTCGAATTTCTCTCAACTGAATTGCCATGATTAAAGTACGGTTGCAGCCTGTCATATTTATTTTGAAAATGGGGGAAATTTTCAAAAGTTCAGTTCGTTCGAGATTTTCTGGTAAGGGTTCGAGGGCCCCTAAACACTACCCCGCCTAGCTCCTAGGTAGCTACGCCACTGTATATAACATGAATAGCACCATGAACTATGGCTATGGTCAGCAATTACTGCTATCAGGTTGATAATAAGCATGTTTGTCATTATAGTATCTTAATCTTAATAATAGTATAAATTATATAAGTTTGTAAGTACGGATGATTGTTACTCTTTCACGCAAAAACTACGGAACGAATTTTGATGAAACTTTACAGCAATATAGTTTATGCATCAGAATAACACATAGGTTATATTTTTTATTGAAATTTAATGACGTTAAAATCGCGGGCACTCCTAGTATATATATAAACAGAAAAGCGAAGGCGAAGAAAGAAGCAAGATCGAAAAAGAAATAAATAGACTGAATGAAACGTTTTTTACGCCGTTTTGTAATAATTATCATTGCAAAATAGAGTATGGAGCAGACATTAATGTGTCTTAGGATAATAAAGTATGTAGAATAAGAACAAACTTGTAAATGAATGTGTAATGATTAAAACATACGCGCGAAATAGTGACACAAAAAACATAAAAAAAATAAATCACGATTGCGCGCGCTGGTTTCCCGCGCTAAACAGCGCACGTGAAAGATAAATCACGATTGCGCGCGCTGGTTTCCCGCGCTAAACAGCGCACGTGAAAGAACGTAAACGTAAAGACAGCTTTTAGAGAGTCATTTTTTAAACAAATACAGCTAGAATATTAAAAGAATACTGACCACCAGCATACTCTTGGGCTCTGGTAGCTCGTTGCCCTTATATATGTTCATGTAGGACTTGAAGTACTGCAACAGGTCCTTGGCTTTCACCTTCTGCCCGTTGATGAGCTTCGGCACTAAGTTCTGTGGCGCCAGCAGCATCGGCACCAACTGTTGTAGCAGCCGCTTGAACTCAACTTCGATGTCTGCGCAAAATTGCAAATTCACTTAATACTGAGTGGATCTCGCCATCATTAGCAACTTTTTATCAAAAATTTGTACAAGAAACTTAGTTGCTAGTCGCCAGGTTTTAAATTAAAAAATCCCACGCCAATTGTTCTTTAGGGTCAATGTAATGCGTCCGAGAGAGACACCTGTTTTTTTTTTATTGTGTTGTTTGGGCTATTTCTGATATTTGTAGCACTTGTAGCACTGCGACCTACATAGATCTATTATGCTCGCCCTTTTTCAGAGTTAACAAACAAAAATTGAAGGATATTCTTAGGAGCGATGATTTTATCTCCTCGGGAAAGAGTGTAAACTTTCCAAAGGAGATATTTCGCGAGACACCTTACGATTTATGCAGGTGTGAATGAGAAAAAAATATGTTTTGTGTAAGTTTTGTACTAACCTGTTATTGTTAGTCTGATAAGCGTAACATAAGCAGATATTGTAATATGTAGGTAGTGGCCTACATACTACAATAAACAATATATACCCACTAGTATACAGGTGTAATAATTGTACTATTTATTGTACAGTAGCTGTTACCGCGACTTTGTCCGCGTGGAATTTAACTTTCAAAACATCTATTAAAAAGAGCAACACACAAGTTTCTTGCTTATTCTTCTTGTGATGAATCTGCATTCCGAATGAGTGGTAGAATCAAAATATGACTATTCAAAAGTGCTTGTAATGAGTTTATTTGAATAAAGATTATTTCTATTTCTTTATTTGTCTAAAATAAAAGTAGCTTAAGTTACTCCTTATTACATCAGCTCATACAGAAATATTACAAGTCTAGGCAGAATCTAATCAAGTATATAAAATCAATTAGTTGGTGAAGGTTACCGGCGAGCCTGCCGTCGAACTGCGGGTTGGTGGCGACCCTGAGCCCCGGGTGCGGCATCAGGAAGCACGCGATCTCAGAGAAGCACGACGTGATGTGCTTCCGCAGCGACTGCAGCTCCGGGTGCTGCTTGTCCGACAGCTGCCAACACAAATCATTAGAAACATACAAATTTGAATTCTGTGCGTATATATTTGTATTTAAGTGTAATAACAAACAATAGATAGCTAGATAAATGCTTTATTTATCAATTAACTGTACACGCGACTTCGTCCGCGTGGTATTTTATTTTACTTTTTTAAACTAAAGTAGCCTAAGTTACTCCTTATTACATCAGCTACCTGCCAATAAAAGTTCCTCAAAAAGGTCCCAACGTTCAAAAAGGCCCCTTTCCATCTATTTTATTTTGATGTTGTTCATAAGCGAATAATAGTCCTATACGAATAAATTGTCATCGACGACTCAAGGTATTTTATGTTTTTTTTTTGTTAAAACAGAATATAGAAATATTTGGTGTAAGTATCTACATTATAGTGTCAAAATATTGTCAGTCAATCAGTCAATCAATCTCATTTTTGACAGATTGGTTGACTGACAAGTTTTTGACTTACTCAATATGTTTCTCTATTTTTCGTTTTAATAATAAAAAAAAAACAGTAAGTACCTTGAGTCTTCGCTGCAGGATGGTGTGTCCGCCGGCGGCGCCGTAGGGCGCCTCGTACGGGAAGCTCCAGTCGCGCACCAGGAACTGCAGACGCTGGAACGGCGTGCGGCCGCTGTCCTCCAGCGCCAGCCGACCGTACTCCGTGAACAACTGCCGACAACTTACGCTTTATACTAAACCGAAATAACAAACTTAACAATTTTGGGGGGAAAGGGAATCATTAGTAATATGGACTGATGATCTTATTGCAATGTACCACGTCAGGTTGACCTGGAAAGTGGAGCTTCCTCCCGCGTACACTTACATTGTGGAATGAACTACCTGCCGAGGTTTTCTCACGAGACTACAGCATGGGGTTTTTTTTGAGAAAGGTATGGAGGATGGACCTGTGGAGGATGATAAGATGAGCATGAGGTTAGGTCAGTTAGCTCATCGTGATCAATTCACCAAGAATTTATCGAGATGGTTTCCAGGGGAAACCGCGTGGAGGTTTTCTTATATACTACTATGGTGATAAACAAGCATACGGCCCATATGATGGTAAATAGTTACCGTAGCCTATGGACGCCTGAAACACCAGGGGTGTCACGTGCGCGTTGCCGACCCTTAAACTTAATACCTTAATATTCAATTGTATGTAACACAGGAAGTAAATAACGCGATGACTGCGAACAGGGATGAATGGAAGCGAAAAACATATTACGCCGACCCCAAATAAATGGGATAAGGAAGAAGCAGATGATGATCTGATCAAGCCCCGGATATTAATTTCCAGGCTTGCTACTTATTATTTATTTACACACATTTTCTATTATTTTGCTATTACTTTGCTTTTCTCTTATGTTTTCACTTTGTTTAATTTTCTATAAGCTAATATTTTTAGTTCTCAAGTTAAGTGAATAAGTAATTCTTAATGAGAAAAAATATATAAAACTTAATTTTACGGGATACAAATCAACATTAAACAACAAAATACAGATGTAACATGATATATCACCTGCAGATGTTGCAGGTCGTCCTCCTGTATGTTCTGCGAGAGGTTGTATATCTGCACTGAGGAGAGCATGGTGGAGAGGGCAAACACGGTCGCGCAGTCGCGCACCGTCGACTCGCTGTCGAATGCGCCCTGGGTGTCCAGCAGTATTATTGCTACCTGGAAAGATTGTTTTTTTTTATTGAGTTGTTTGAGCTAATGTCAGATGTTGTAGCACCTGTAGCACTGCGACCTACATAGATCTATTGTGCTCGCCCTTTTTCAAAGTTATCTACCTAGACCCCTAAAGGAAGGACATTAAGATAAGACGGCACCAGTATCGTACCAGAATATTATATCGACTTATGTCAAATGTAAAACAACATAGTGTTTTTGTTTTTGTTTATTGGGATGTTTGGGGTATTTCAGATGTTTGTAGCACATGTAGCACTGCGACCTACGTAGACCTATTGTGCTCGCCCTTTTTCAAAGTTCACTACATTAGACCCCTAAAGGAAGGACATTAAGATAAGACGGCACCAGTATCGTACCAGAATATTATATCGACTTATGTCAAATGTAAAACAACATAGTGTTTTTTTTTTGTTTATTGGGTTGTTTGGGGTATTTCAGATGTTTGTAGCACCTGTAGCACTGCGACCTACATAGATCTATTGTGCTCGCCCTTTTTCAAAGTTCACCTAGACCCCTAATGGAAGGACATTAAGATAAGACGGCACCAGTATCGTACCAGAATATTATATCGACTTATGTCAAATGTAAAACAACATAGTGTTTTTTTTTGTTTATTGGTTTGTTTGAGGTATTTCAGATGTTTGTAGCACCTGTAGCACTGCGACCTAAGTAGATCTATTGTGCTCGCCCTTTTTCAAAGTTCACTACCTAGACCCGTCAGGGACAAGAATTGAAGGATATTCTTAGGAGCGATGGTTTTTATCTCCTCGGGAAAGAGTGTAAACTTTCCAAAGGAGATATTTCGTTTATGCATGAGTGGGCTACAACAACATATTCATTTAATACTTTATTTGCAAAACATGGATAGAATCAAAAAACTTGACTATTAAAAAGTGCTAACATTAAGTTTATTTGAATAAAGATTATTTCTATTTGTGTGGGTACAGAACAACAGGTAAGAAGTTATGATGAAGTATTAATGTTTACAATTTATAATGTATTTCTTATTTTTCAAACAGCAGAATATGATGAAATCTATATTATATACTAGAAATGCCCACGGTTTTACCCGAGCTAGATTTCAAATGCAAATGCTTACGGCATATGCTTATAGGCAAGAAATTCGGGAGTTTAGTTTTTTATTTAGTTTTTTATTGTTTAATTTCTTTTTTTTTTATTTTTTTATATATTTTTCTGAGGAGCAAGTCAGCTTTAACATATTATTATTGGTTTTAACTTATTTTAAAAAATCAATACAATTTAAACATAATTAGGTACAGTCATCAACTCGCTTTTTATTGAATTGACTATTTTTGTCTAGCATAGATCGATCGATTTAATAATAAATAACGGAGCACAATTCGAATACGGGACAGAGTCAGTCCCGCCGGGACATTTAAAATTAACCCTACAATACGGGACGTCCCAGGAATTACGGGACCTCTGGCAACGCTTTTTATTATCTCCACATTAAAGTGGTGAAAATGGTTTAGTTTTATGACTATTTTATTCAGTTCATATGCTTGCACTTTATAACTAACCGTAAGTATATATATTTACACAATACTTAATTTCAGACTATAGCACACTGTGTGAGCTGTCCAGGGTTAATTATTTTTTAATAGTAGCAACTTTGGGGCCGTTCAAGTATTACGTAAGCACTATAGGGGGGCGGGGGGGTCTTTTCTTTGCTTATTTTGGATGACATGGGGGTGGGGGAGTCTGTATGATGATTACGTCATCGGTCGTAATTTACTTTTTTACACGAATGGCAACCCTCACATTGTCTTTGCTAAAAAAAAACAATACATTAATTGAGAGATGTTTACGTAAGCATGGGTGGAGGGGGTAAGAGCTTTGCTTACTTTTGCTGACAACGGGGGATGGGGGGTAAATAATTGTGATAAATCTGCTTACGTAATACTTGAACAGCCCCTTTATAACTATGAGTAATAGACTTTGCTTAATAGTTCCTCACCTTCTCGCCATTGTCGAGGGTGGCCTGGAATATCTCCGACCACATGAGTATGCCGGTGGTGTCTCGCTCGGAGCCACCTCGCCAGCTGAACCCCTGGAGTGGTTCTTCATCACCACCCAACCAGTCTCCACCACCGCCGCCCGCTCCATACTGAAAAAACGGCATGTTAAGTTGTATTATGTTAACAGCTTCGGTGGTGCAGCGGTTTATCACGCCGCTTTATGTCTGATGGTCGCCGGTTGAATTCCTCGCACGGTGCAAACATTTGTATTCATGAGTATGATTGTTTGTATCGGTCTGTGTGTTTTCTATGTATATTATGTATGCATAGATAAATGCTTTATTCATCTTATATATAAAATTCTCGTGTCACAGTTTTCGTTCCCATACTCCTCCGAAACGGCTTGACCGATTCTCATGAAATTTTGTTAGCGTATTGATTAGGTCTGAAAATCGGCCAACATCTATTTTTCATCCCTAAATGTTAGGGGCAGTCCACCCCTAATTTTTTTTTTATTTTAAGGCAAAACAACGTTTGCCGGGACAGCTAGTAATCTATAAACACATAACATACATAAGATACACAAAGATAAATTTTACAAATTTAGAAATGGAGGTGGCTTTACGTGACGCAATGATGAAGAGGCAACCAACTCAGCATGAATCTCCAGATAAGTCTGCAGCGCTGATATACTTTTGGCTCCTATAATTAAATACATACACATACAGATATATGTGTGTGTGTATTACATATATTACGTGTATTACAGTCAAACAATCATACTCATGAAATGTCAGGACCGTGCGAGGAATAGAACCCGCGACCATCGGAGGAAGGTGGTGTGTTAAACCACTATACAACCGAGTTCGTCATGTATACATATAAATAAAATTGGAATGTTTGTTTGTAATATTGAAATAACCGTTTTTTACTACATGTATTTGAATATAATTATAATTTCATTTCTAAATATAAATAACTCAAAGGTGACTGACTGACATAGTGATCTATCAACGCACAGCCCAAACCACTGGACGGATCGGGCTGAAATTTGGCATGCAGGTAGATGTTATGACGTAGGCATCCGCGAAGACAGGATTTTGATAAATTCTACCCCTAAGGGGATAAAATAGGGGATGAAAGTTTGTATAAATCTTCTTAGATTTTCGACTGATTGAATTGAAATTAACATTGGAGCTACTATGACGAAGACGTTCGCTTAAATAGGATTTTGATATATTCAACCCCCATGGGGATAAAATAAGGGATGATGCGGGATGTAAATATATTAGTTTGAACCTATCAGTACCTAATGGAATGAATAAATTAAGACGAACAAAATAATTTTTATTTCTTTAGGATATTTTTATTTTTGAAAAATAATGTTAATTTCCACGCGAACGTAGTCACGGGAACAGCTAGTATAATATATATTCAGTTAAGTGTGTCCACAGATAGTGAGCGTCATTCTTTAAACACTTACTTTCACTATACTATATCGCTCATAAAGCGGATGTATCAAATTTAATATGTGGTTATGATTATGATTTAACGACCTTGGTAGCGTAGCGGTTTGGTTGGTAACGTTGGTTTCATGTTCCTATGGTGGCAAGTTCGATATAATAAAAATATTTGTGTACTGTATTTCTTTATATTTGCATAGGGGTTTCAATAGTAGTGCTGCTTGTAGGGACTGGTCTGCTTTTTTTATTAAAATATACTTAATATAAGCACTTTCGAATTGTCATATAATATTTTATTATTCTACCGCTCATTGGAAACCAGAAATTTGCGTGTTGCTCTTTTAAATAAATGTGATTCAGCGTTACATATTTAAGATTTTGTGTAAGATTAATATAATAGTTATTTTAGTAATAAAAAAAATCAGTGATAGTTATCAGAGCAGACCAGTCCTTACAAGCAGTTCCGGTTCACGAGTATAACGGGTGGCCCTCAACGCTCAACCATATTTTAAATCAAATCAAATCATTTATTCGCAGAATACAGTACTTATAGGTGTATACAATATTAAATATAATGTTCAGTGTATTCAGCCTGCATACAGGCGTGCAAATTTTTATATTTTTTTATATATTAATATATTTATGTCTTTCTGATTAGTCCATAATTAAATTTAAAATAAACATGTCATTGGATTTATTGGCATATATAATTACTATAGATTATACGTTAAATGACTAAATTCCATAAATTCTTTGACACTATAAAAACAATGTGCCAATAGCAATTTGGTTAAATTTAATTTGAAAGCTCGCTCGTTCAACAATTTTATATTGTCAGGCAAATGACTGTAAAGAGAGGCGTACATGTTTAATATATTTCTCCTGTAAATATCTTTATGGTATTGAGGTTGATATATTTCACTCATGATCCTTGGTCTGGTTTGTCTCTGATTCAATTCACCACATTTCTTCCAGAATTGTGGATGAGAATTTACAAAAACACACGTCTCTAATATACATGCATGGAAGTGGTAAAATATTTAATTGTCGAAACAGAGGCCTGCAACTATCATCGCACCACGCTTTGCATATCGATCGAATGGACTTCTTTTGAACTGTAAAAACTTTCTCAATATCTACAGAGTTGCCCTAGAGTATCGGACCATAATTAATTTAGAGAGCCCAATGGCCCGTCTCAGACAGCGCCATCTAGTCCCACAGTAAGCAGGGCTAGTGTTATAGCTATTAGACAACTGATATAAATACATAAGACTTTTTTTGGTAATACATACATAATATACATAGAAAGAGGGGGAGGGGATTGTTAGCAATGGGAACTAGTAACTCCTATTGCTAGCAATGTACCATGTTAGGTCAACCTCCACGCGGTTCTCCCTGGAAACCATCGTGATGAATTCTTGGTGTCATGATGGGCTAACTAACCTGAACTCATGCTCATCTTATCATCCTCCACTGGTGCCCCGCCAGCGTAAACCGTTAGCGCAGGTGGGTGCACCATTCCAATATCATACACAAAAAATATATACATAGAAAATACTCAGAGCGATACAAACAATCATACTCATGAATACAAATCTGCACCGTGCGAGGAATTGAACCCGCTACCATCGGAAGTAAAGCGGTGTTAACCGTTAAACCAGTGAGGCCATTAAAATTAATCAGTTTAGCAGTATTAATGTGGATTGACAAACCTTGTGGTGCATATATCTGAGGAAGAAGTCCAGCAGGAAGGACTTGCCCTTGCGGAAGGCGCCGGCCACCGACAGCACGACCACGGCGCGGTCCCGGATGTCCTCGCGCAGCAGCAGCTCGCCCAGCGCCTCCTCATCCAGTATGAACGTGTGGTCGGGCCCCGTGTTGACCACCTGGACGCCATGGTGCCCCGACCGCGGCGCTGGTGCCGGTTTCTCTGTTGCCGCTGTTAATTAAAATATAAATAATCTAGTTTGTAATATTTAAATAATCGTTATTTACTGCATGCATATGAATATAAATACGGTACATACATTAAAATATTTTTTTGTACAATTTTTGTCTGTCTGTTTGTTCCGGTAAATCTCTGAAATCGCTGGACCGATTTTCACGGGACCTTTTTTTTAGCAGGTAGGTGATGTAATAAGGACTAACTTAGGCTACTATTATTTTAGAAAAATAGGTAAATTCTACGCGGACAAAGTCGCGAGTATAGGTAGTCTATACATATAAATAAAATTGAAGTGTCTGTTTGTAATATTGAAATAACCGTTTTTACTGCATGCATATGAACATAAATACGGTACATACACCAAAATATTTTTTTTTACAATTTTTGTCTGTCTGTCTGTTTGTTCCGGCAAATCTCTGAAATGACTGGACCGATTTTGACGGGATTTTTATTGGCAGGTAGCTGATGTAATAAGCAGTAACTTAGGCTATTTTTCTTAGAAAAATTCTCTAATTAACTTTTTTGTTGAATTCCACGCGAACGAAGTGGCGGGTACAGGTAGTAAAATAATGAAGAATTAGCAGTTGGTAGATCATAACGTAATCATAATATTAGTGAGCAAAAATACAACGAGAAATATTATCTGATAAATTAATTGCTAATCTAAGATAAATACGTGATATATATACATATAATATCTATATATCATAATCTAGATATACACACGCATGCTCAGAAGGCGTTCATAAATTACGCGCGTTGTTTTTTTTTTAATTTTCTGCACTGGTGAGATGTCATGAGATTTTATTTAAACCCCTCCCCCATACCCCAATCTGACGTGAGATTTTTCAAAATGTGGGTTTCTTACGTAAACGCATTTAATTGTTATTGTAAAAATTAAAAAGAATTTGCTTCCTGCCTTTATTTATCTATTGTATTACGAGTCCGCTTAAGATTAAATCTTAAGCATATACAATCTGGATTAAATGGACCAAAATAGTATTTTTTTTTGTTTCAATCAGAAAAAAAATTCCGTGATATTTGTCGAGACCTCTCCAACGTAAGATTAGATGAGATTTGACTCGATCCCTTCTCCCCTTAAACATCTTACGTAATTTACTCTACTTTGGGAAATCGACTTTAAAAGTTATACATTAGAATCTACTTTCCAAAACCATATTTTTTGAGTTAATACTGTTTATAGATATTTATATGTATAACTAATTGTTATTTAGGAAGTTTGGCTCTTCTCTATTAAATGATAATCTAGTTTAGTTTACTAAACCATATAATATAAAAAAAAAATATTAGGCGATATGAATGACTTTATAAATTATACTTAGTACGGTATCAACGGAAGAGGGACGTCATAGTGTCATCACTAGTCATGCTCGTAATAAATCGTGATGTATCACTTAATACTAACATCTTAATGTTAGTATTAGGTGACAGTACATAGTACATCACTATTTGAATTATATTTATAATCGACTTTAATTGTTTTACATTGAAGTCCACTTTCAAAAATTATATTTTTGAGTACAGTTTATATATAGATACATAAGCAAGTGTAATATTAAACTACAAATTTTTTAGGAAATCGACTTTAATACGTTTAAAATAAAGTCCACTTTCTAAAATTATATTCTTCAGTTAATACAGTTTATAAAGATTCATACGCTCATTTAATATTGAACTACATTTTTTTTTAGGAAACGACTTTAAATGCTTTACTTTAAAGTCCACTTTTCAATATTATATTTTTATGTTCATATAGTTTATAAAGATTCATACTTCCATTTAGCATTAAAAAAAATTTGTTTGAAAATCGCCCTTAATTGTTTTACATTAAAGTCAATTTCCTAAAATTACAATTTTGAGTTAATAAAGTATTAAGTGCATTATTTTTTTGGGATTTCGACTTTAAACGTTACGGGTTTAAAGTCGATATCTTAAATTTCTTTGTGTTAATACAGTTCATTATTTACTGAGCAATATGCTAATAGTCACCCAAACCACATTAATTAACATGAAGTCAATGAACTTGAAATAAATCGCTATAGTGAAAATTATTTCCATAGTTATCTGTACGCAAGAACATGTATCAGGATAATTATTAATAGATTTATCTTTTTAATCTATACATATAAATAAAATTGGAGTGTCTGTTTGTAATATTGAAATAACTGCTTTTTACTACTTGCATGTGAATATAAATGCGGTACATACATAAAAATAACACTTTTTACAATTTTTATCTGTCTGTCTGTTTGTTTTGGCTAATCTCTGAAAAGACTAGAACTATTTTGACGGGACTTTTATTGGCAGGTAGCTGATGTAATAAGGAGTAAGTAACTCATATTCATGAATACGAATATTTACTCGGACTTTTTTATATAGATGTTTCCTTCATCAGAGAGTCAGTCAGAAATATCCCCTCTTATCAACCCCCCGTTTCATTTCAAACGAGGATCGAAATTACGACGACATGAGCCAAGGTTCGAACCCCTAGCGGTGCCCTCTGACTTTGGGAGTTGGCTTTCAGATGCTCCATAAACATTTCCATGTTTGGAGAGCCATCTGCACTCGTCCCCTATCGCCCGGTGAAGTTATAAAGGTCTTTTCAAACTTCTCTAATGTAGCTACAATAGAGGAGTTCGAAAGAAAGTCAGAAATTCAAAAACATTTATTCATGTAGGACATTTTAGCCGCTTATGAACGTCAAGTTTTTACATAAGATTTTTATTTCCTTACCGTCGTTTAAAATTAATTTACATAGGCTTTTTGGTCGGCAGTTTTGAACTCACGTCCTCTGAGATATAGGGTAGTAAACCACTGGGCCGGGGGGAGGGGATTGTTAGTAATGTGGACTCATGACCCCAATGGTGCCCCGCCAGCGTAAACCGTTAGCGCAGGAGGGTCCACCATTCCACTATCATTCACAAAAAAAAAACCACTGGGCCACGATTACTACGTTACCAAATACACTTGTATACAAACTAGTTTATAAAAATCGCTTTCTACTACACATTTTAATATTCACTAAACATTTTTGACACTTCTACAAGAACAGGCCTGTCAATACAAGGTTATAAGTGTCTTTTGTGAAAGTGGCCGAGCAAGTTTTAGTTCCCATCCTACAGAGTAAAATGAATTTTTCTCTACATACATACTTGTTAATAAAATTATATAAATTGCAGCATAAACGTAGGTCACTATCTATTTTGTATTGACAGACCATACGTTATAAAATAATTTTAGAAAATTTTCTAACTGTATATGATCGGCCTAATTGTTATTCACATCCTATAAATTATAATGAATTTTTCTCTACATGTATATGTTTTACTTGGTAACCAAATAATATAAATTACAAAATAAAATATTACCCCATTCCATTTGCACAGTTCGTACGTTATAAAATAATTTTAAAAATAGAAAATCGAAATACTCTTTATTCAAATAAACTTAATATAAGCACTTTTGAATAGTCAAGTTTTTTTATTCCACCGAAAAACTTCTAACTGTATGTGGTCGGCCTAATTACCATTCCTATCCTACAGACTATAATGAATTTTTCTCTTTCTTTACTTTTACTTGGTAATAAAATAATATACATTGTAAAATAACATATTACACCATTCTATTTGGACAATTAGTACGTAACAGTATGTGGTCGGCCTAATTATTATTCCCATCCTACAAATTATAATGAATTTTTCTCTACATATACTTTTACTTGGTAATAAAATTATATAAATTGCAACATAAAAAGTAGGTCACTACCTATTTTGTTTTGACAGAATTTGACAGACCGTATGTTGTACAATAATTTTAGAAAAATTTCTATCTGTATGTGGTCGGCCTAATTATTATTCCCATTCTACATATATATACTCTTACTTGGTAATAAATTTATATCAAATCTATATAGCAAATTAAAATAGTACACTAGTCTGTATGGACAAACCATGTGTTGTAAAATATTTTTAGAAAAATTTCTAACTGTATGCGGTCGGCCTAATTATTATTCCCTATATATAGTGAATTTATTATGGTTATGTTTAACATTAAGTATGACTAGAGATAAATAATATTAAAGACGATTCGATTAGAAATTAAGTTATATTTTTATAAAAAAAAAAACAAATTGTAAAAGAAAGTAAGTTAGCTAAGCTTACTCCTTATAATGTTAACTATCCATGAGTGAAAGTCTCGTCAAAATCGGTCCAGCCGTTTTAGCAACAACAAACAGACAAACAAATTTTATTTTTTAATGTACGTACCACAAACAGAGAGACAAACGTTATATTTTTTTATTATAAATTCCTATACATTCATATGCATTTAGCAAAAAACTAAACGATTAATTTGAAATTGGAAACAGACACATCAATTTTATTTATTTGTATATATAACTAATTTTATTCCATAAAAAATACTGAACTGAGATCGCCTCCTTTATACCATCGGCTAAATATATGTAGATATGTAAACGTTAACACAGTGCATTAACGTCCAAATTGCAATATCATGAACATCTCGTGATTGAAATAAATTAAAAATGAACCGTGCAATAATACAAACAGAACAACGTGTAAATAACCGTACATAATAAATGTTAATGTTTTTAATGTGACCGCCATAGACACGATTGCATAGATCGAACGAGTTTTTTTTTTAATTTATGTTATGTAACTGCATAAACATGTTGACGGTACATCCGATTAAAAAGGGATTTCGCCAGAAATATCAACCTTCCCGTAGCACTTATACGTTACCTTATAAATTAACTGCCATACCTCCCCTTCTGTAATATATTTATTCTATTCTTTTCCTTACTAGCTGTTCCCGCGACATCGTCCGCGTGGAATTTAAATTAATTTTTCTAATAATAGATTTTTTAAAAATTAAAGTAGTCTAAGTTGCTCGTTATTGCATCAGCTACCTGCCAAAAAAAACCCGTCAAAATCGGCCCAGCCATTTCAGAGATT